GTGTTGGGAACAATGGGTTCCATGACCTTCAGATTGCGCCACAGCTTCTGGTTGAGCGAACGGATCTTCTGTCTCCATTCCATGTGCTTCTGAATGGCCTCGGGATCATTCTCATCCGGCGGGGGAGGCATCGTGCGCTCCATGTCTTCCATATCCATAAGCGTGCTGTATACACTCTCCAGGTTGGTCAGGACTGATTTGCGATCGCTAACGCTCAAATCAGTGTGCGGCTTCTTCACCGTCTTAGCGCCCTCCGAGCTCTCCGGACGCTTGATGTTGAGCATGGGCTTTGGCGTCTTAGCGTTGCTGAAAGAGATCTTACCCAAGCTGCCCTCGATGATAAGCTGCTTATTCTTAGGCTTCTGCTTAGCAGCCTCCACCGCACGCTGGACCTGCTGCTGCATTCTCTGCATGTGGTTGTCGGCGCTCTGGAACTGCCGGCGAGAGCCATGGCCCCCGAGCCTGTTGCCTGTCTGGAGAAGGTATGTCTGCGCAAAGTGACCAAGAGGTTGGTGCGGATGTTGCCGCGGCGCACCCCGGATCTGGCTGTAGACCTGATAATAGAAGTCCTCTGCCAAGACAGCTTCTGCATCAGAGTCCGCCACGTTACCAGCAGCAGCGACTAGTTGCTGAAGCTGGATCCGGGTGATGAAGTTCTTGTCCTGCGGGGTCATCAGTCCGTTACCCCTGGACAGAAGGAAGATCTTGTGGTTGCGCTTCGCACGCTTGGCATCTTCCATCAAGTACGCTACGCGCTGCTCCTCCGTCAGGTGCATCAACTGCTGGGAGTTGGTGATCACGGGCAGTTGCGCGTTGTTACCACGGGGAGCTTGGGGCAGGGGCGGTTGCTGCTGCTGGGGTCGCTGAGCCGCCGGTGGCATCGCCTGACGTTGGGGAGGCACCATGTGCTGAGGAGGCAAGTTGGCATTTTGCAGCATATGAATCGGCAGGTTTGGAGGGAGCGGGTACGGCTCCGGAACCATGGGTGGCTGGTGCTGCAACAGTGCCGGTGGGACACCCTTGGCGAACTGGGCCTGTAGAATCTCAGGCGGCAGCTGCGGGAAGCCTTCGGGCAGAGGGGGCATCTGAGCTCGCTGGAGAGGCTGAGTGGGCTCTGGCATCGACTGCGGAAGGGACAGCGGGATTTGGGCGGGAAGCGAAGATGGACCCTGTCTCCGCAGCTGCGCTTCCACCTCCTCGAGACTCAGCATCTTCTTTGCTTGCGCTACCATCTGGGGCGTGGGCTGCTGCAGCTGCTGCAGCTGTTGCTGGAAATGCTGTTCCGGCTTCTTTGACATGCCCCAGACGCTAGACTTGGCCTGAAGATCGGGGATGTAACCCGGGTCGTTGTACTTCTCATAGCCAGACCGTTTGGGCTTCTGGTCCGCAGTGTCTGGCAGAGCAGTATCGGCCGTGGGTTGCGAAGGAGCGGTCGCAGGCGCACCGGGTTTCTGAAGGCTGTAACGGATCTGCTCCTCTCCGATCACATCCGCGACCTGAGCAGTCTTTCCGAAGAAGTCGAAATCCTTTCCAACCGGGCCGGTGTCGAAGCCGCCACCAAACGTGTCATCGTTGAACGCATCCTGGTCATCGTCCAGTTGGTCTCCCAGGCCATCGTACGTATCCTCAAAGTCGATGCTATAGCAATTGAAAGAAAGCGCCGCTGGTCAGCTCCATGGCCCCCGTTGTCTCAATTGATTTAAGTGAAGCAGAGTGGGGGAGACTTACACGTCGTCATCCTTGTCGTCTCGGAAGTTTGCTGCCAGTCTGGCGCGGGCAACTTCGGCGAACGGATCAGGGGTGTCGAAGATACCCCTCTGTTCACCCGCAGGAGCTCGATCCCTAGGCAGGGTGGTATTAAAGCCGAAGAAGGACATCTTCGGGGGAAGCGGGGGGTGGGGGGGAGGCAGTGGGTGTAGGAAGAGGGCGAGAATTACCACCGCGGCATAATTGGGTAGTGCGGGATGAGGTTCACAGCCGGTCTGATATCACCCGCTTTAGCTTAGTCCGCTGTGGCCTGAAAGCCTGAGGCAGTAAGACATTAAGGCATTAAGGCATACAATTAGCCACCGCATCACGGGGAAGCGGTTGCCCCTTAGTCATCAGGTCTCCTGTTGTCTCCGTTGGACTCGGAAGATAATGGACTTTGTAGATATGAGAACGACCCCTTTTTGTATCTATCTATATCACACCACACTCTTAAAGCCCTCGGAGTACACGGATAATTGTCTACTTTATGAAGTAGTATCCGGGGCAGTGCTTTGCATGTATTATACTATCTGGTCCTCATCTCGCCCTATAGGGAGTATGTATGTATGTGGTCCCCAAACCCCAAGGCAGGATGGGATCGACGCCCAGCCAGATGGACTGATACACTGAAGCACCGATCGCATCCCTTCCTTAACGTCATCTTTGGTATAGACCCCTCCCTACGAAAGAGTAAAAGTTTCCTCCTTGTAGATATTAAATGTCAGAATGTATACTTTTCTTATCTCACGCATCCACTGGGTGGCTCAAAATCGGTGCGACGTACGTGGCCCGGCCAATAATGGGGGAAATTACGTCGCCCTCACCATACCGGGGCGAATAGGCTAGACTGCCAACGTACGCTGGCGCTTTGTTGACATCTGCCTTTTTTCTCCCACATTTGATCTTCCATCTCCTTAAATATTTCTGTCGGACTCAACTTTTTCTAATAAAGAACGGTTGGGGAAGCACGAGCGCCGTGGTCAGGATCGACAACCAGTGCCCCGAATTGCCAACTAACTTTAATCTTTACCTGATGCGCCGCGGGTCCATCATCTGCATCGTCGTTACCGATCGCCCATAGATTCCCAAGAATATCTGGGAGGCGCATTTCTCACCGGGCCTGTCACAACTGCCTAGATCGAGGGAGGCCCCATCTGTCGGATTTCTTCCTTACTTACACACTAGCTGTCCGTCATTCGTTTGTCAACTTCATCAGCATCTTGATCCTCACTATCCGTCCTCCTTTGTTCTCCGACACTGCGCAACAGGCACCCGTATTCAGCCCTGCGCATCTAACCATTGCTCCTCCCACCTCCTCACCGACGCTTCGGCACTGCGCAGTGCCCTTCACATCATGGCTATAGGGCCATTGCGATATCTTCTGTTCGCCATCACGGTGAGTGTGTCTGGCCTGCCACAGAAACCCCTTTCGCATCACTGACTGGCTTCAAGGGGTTGGCCGTCTTCTTTTTCATCTCTAGGAGCGCTATCCCAATCCCCGAGAACATCGGCACCAAGTTGAACCCCGCGACCTACAAAGACACCTTTTCCTCCTCTCACTCCTCGCAAAATGATGCGCTGTCATCAAGTGGACCGATCAAAGACATCCCGACGGATCGCGTGAACGCCACCTTCGTGACCCTCGCTCGCAACACGGATCTTTGGGAGATGGTTAAGTCCATCCGGACGGTGGAAGACCGCTTTAACCACAACTATCACTACGATTGGGTGTTCTTGAACGACAAGCCCTTCGATGACGAGTTCAAGAAGGTCACCTCAGCCTTGATCTCCGGCAATACGTTCTATGGCGTGATCCCGAAGGAACATTGGTCATATCCCGAGTGGATTGACCAGGATAAGGCGAAGAAGGTCCGACAGGAAATGGGAGAGAAGAAGATCATCTACGGCGACTCGGAGAGCTACCGTCACATGTGCCGTTATGAATCCGGATTCTTCTTCCGGCACCCGCTGATGCTGAACTATGAGTACTACTGGCGCGTGGAGCCTAGCATTGAGCTCTTCTGTGATGTCAGCTTTGACCCGTTCCGTTACGTGAAAGAGAACGACAAGAAGTACAGCTTCGTGCTGAGTCTGTACGAGTATTACGACACCATCCCGAGCCTGTGGGGTACGGTGCAAAAGTTCATGGAGGAGCACCCGGAGCATATCGCAGACGGCAACTCCATGAGTTTCTTGAGTGACGATGGCGGCAAGACTTACAACAAGTGTCACTTCGTGAGTATTACCCTTTAATCTCTCCGCTGGCTTAACTAACCAGTTTGTAGTGGTCCAACTTTGAGATTGGAAGTCTGGAATGGCTGCGGTCCAAGGAATACATTGACTACTTTGAGACGCTCGACCACGCTGGTGGCTTCTTCTACGAGCGTTGGGGCGATGCTCCGGTGCACTCTATCGCCGCGGGACTTCTCTTGAAGAAAGAGCAGATCCACTTCTTCAACGAAATTGGCTACTACCATGTCCCCTTCACCCACTGCCCGACTGGCGAGCAGCTAAGGCTGGACTTGAAGTGCCACTGCAACCCCAAGGACAACTTTGACTGGAAGGGATACTCTTGTAAGTTCCCCTCTCTCCTTCCGTTGGGGCATCATAACTAACGAGCAACGTACAGGCACGTCCCGGTTCTTCCAAACCAACGACATGGATAAGCCTAAGGGCTACGAGAATGAGAGCTAAGGGGCTCATGACTGATTATATCACTCAAAAAGTAAATGCAAATTCTGTCCTTGCGCAGCGCAAGGTTGGCCGTGCATGTGATCAGCAAAGTCGGACATCTCTTCACCAAGCAAGGTGGAGTGACATTGTCCAGGCATAAAACGTCCACTAACGGGACACTTCCCAGCTCATTACCGAACCATTTCCAACCATCCTGCTGTATGCTGGGCGCAGGTTCACAACATTTGAAAAATATTCTTCATTTCTTGATTTCCGGACGAGGGTGTCATGTGTTTATAAGATTGTCGGGAACTTCACTTCACAAGCGCGCATCATTTTTTCTCTATATTCCGGGTATAGGGGTTGCAAGGTACAGAGATCGTGTGCAGGATGTACTGGATGGAGTCGGGATGAACTGGGAAAGGAAAATAACTGCTCTGTAGCCAGGCAAGCCTCATAAATGTACATAGCCGTGTTCTAATGATAACAACGATATAAAGATCCGTCAAAGCACGATGTAATGATACAAACAATACCAAAAAATGTAATCAAGCACAAGCAACATCCCTCACACCCAACTAATCCTTCTTAGGCTTCTTCGTACCATACTTCGACCGACTGTTCAACCGAGAAGCAACACCACCCTGAAAGAAGTTAGCAAACTGCCCCCAATCCCTAAAAACCCAATCGCAGAGAATGAACCTACCAAATCCATCGCACCACGAACCAAATGGTACTTCACACCAGGACAATCAGGCACACGACCACCACGCACCATAACGACACTGTGCTGCTGGATATTGTGTCCTACACACAGTGACAAATTAGCCTCATTCATCCAATTCCACTATTCCCATCTACTCTCATTCTCTTCATCCCCAACCCAATCCCACAAAGACCAAAGCGGAGAGGAAAAGCGAACTCACCTTCACCAGGAATATAAGCCGTAACAACCTTCCCACTACTCAACCTAACTCTCGCCGTCTTCCGCTCACCAGAGTTCGGCTTCTTGGGCTTCGTAATACCCGTCTTCAAACACACTCCCTTCATCTGAGACCGGCCGATCAGCGCCGGAGACCGAGAGCGACGTGCGCGCTGCGCAGTACGGCATCCGCGCCGCACTTGGTTGTAGGTAGCCTGGCGGAACGGGGAGGTGGAGAATTGCCGGAGAATGGAGGAAGAAGAGGATGTGACGGAGATCTTGCTTGCAGCAGCAACTGCAGTGGGCGTGCGGAGGACGGGCTGGAAAGGTCGTCGGGGAGCGGCGGCGAGGGTGGTGATGGAGCAGGAGGTAGTGGATTTGATAGCGGCGGGACGCTGGACAAGAGTCCGGAGCGTGCGCAGGGCGAGGGAGGAGACGAGAGGGGCCATTTTTTGCTTATATGTCTCCTTGGCGATGTGCTTTGGCCTGGGGGCTTCCGTATATTGGTTATCGGGATGGGTAACATTTCCTGGACGGGCTGAGAGAGATTGTATCACGTGACGGGTGGAAGATGGCGGAGGTGGTGGGTGTGGTGCGCCGGAGGAGCTTGCTGCGGGAACGCGCCAGTGGACTGGCTGCCTGGCTTGGCTGCGATGTCAGAGCTGCTGGTGCTGGTGCTGGTGCTTGCTACGTCGGTACTACCTTTACTGACTGACTGCTTAACTATCCTCCTCCGACTTTCAACCTCCCATCTCACGAACAACCACACTCATCTAACCTTTCGATTTACACAACCATCTTTTACTCTCACCCTCGATACTACACATATACCACCCTGCAAATAAAACTCCCATCACAACCGTCACAATGGTCCGTCCATCCATCTACTCACAACCTCCCCGATACCCTCATCTCCCAACCCTCATCCATACAGAAACGGATAACTAACAAAGATCAATAGTCCCTCCGCATCGCCCCCCCCTCCAGCAACCCAACCCAAACAACCAACACGACCACCCGCGCCGTCATCGACCTCCCCCACCCCTCCAAGGGCGCCCCCTCAGCCCCCGGTCTCCCCGACACCCTCCGCGACAACATCACTCTCCAAGCACCCCGGGGCCCTCCCTCCACAGCGACCACCACCCCATCCTCGACGCACCCGCTCGAGGCCCGTCTTATCGCGTGGCGCGCCACCCAGGATGCATTGAAGATGGAGTCGCTGCGTCGGGCGTACGGTATCGCGGAGCCCGTGCGCCGCGGCATGGAGTTGAAGATCGTGCGGGATGGTTCGTTCAGGCCTGCTGCGTTGGGTGGTCTCGGAATGGGAAATCTTCATGAGGATATTTTGGTCCTGGGTGGTAGGGATGCTGAGGTGGGTTGGGAGGATGTGTTCAAGGGTGAGTTTTTACCTATACCTTCTTTCATGTTTTGGTGAAGGAGGTTGTGTGTGTGTGTGTTTTGCTAACGAGTGGGGGTTTAGGTGATGAGTTCCGTGAACCGCCTGCTTTCCATGATGAGATGGAGAAGAGATTGCGTATGGATCACTGAAGGGGTGATGATGGTGGTGGTAGTCTGGTCTGGACATGACATGGCATGGCATGGCTTTACTTAACTCATTGGTTGGCTGTTGAATGGGTTGTTATGAATCGGATTTCATTAAGTTTGTTTCTTTTATTTCTTGATACAGGCGCTGTCTGCGGTAAACTATACAATACAATCAATAAATGGTGGTTTCATCTACTTGAATACTTTTGAATAAGCCTACGTTGGTTGAAAGGGAAGTACTACTACAGGCTGAATAGCTACCATATGTGCAATCTTTGTACATTATGTAGTTTCCGCTGGCCTCAAACCAAGGAAACGCTATATTTGACATCAACCTGTGGGTCGCACAAGCCCCGTATCTCAAACTAGATTCAATCAGATGGCTGGCCAGATCGGAAGAGGGCCACCAGGGTCTTCCGTGAGCACTGCAAATTCGTCGGTCCAAGCCCTAACGCAACAGAAACACAGCAGAACGGCAAAGGACCATGTAAGCAATTGCAAGAGATAGGCTTCCAATATGTGAACATAAATGCAACAAATTTGAGACCGGCCAACGAGACAACACAGGGGGCGGGAGAGCAAGCGAGAACATGAGCTTTAGGGTATATACGAAATAAGCGGAAGCGGAGCAGCATCAAGCAACTCATGGAACTATGCAAGCCAAACGGTGACCACTTGGTGGAACAGACAACGGGGTAAATGTCAATGCAGCGATGCTGGTAAAGCGATGATAACCCATCCATAACGCCGTCTCATTACGGTCAGACAGCCAACCACATGCAATGTCTTGCGGCTATAAAGGCGAACAAGCGTGAGGGAGGACCAAAGCCTACTCGAACCCAGCAGAGAGAAGCAACAAGGCTCCAATAAGGGGTCTAGAAGAAAGCTCGTATCGACGAATCTTCATGTGGCACAAGCAAGTGAGCTTGGCATTGGTATCTGGGAGGGCAAAGCGATAATGGCAGTTCCCGAGGACGCAAGCAAGGGAGGACTGCCTTGAGTATTTAACTTCTGTCGTCTCCTTTCTCGGGCGGAAACAGTCCTATTCATTATTGGATGATGCAGCGACAGCCAGGGCTACGCTCACTGGACTCCCGCTCCCGGGTGTACTGGGGTTTAGACTTGGCGTCTTCTTCGTCAACGATCTCCTGGGGCTTCACAGTCATATGAACCACATTAGGAGCATCCCGGCTGAACTTGGAGTCTAGATGATAGTAGATCAGCACCAGCACCAGCACCAGAGAAGCGGTAGAAGTGACAAATACCTGATAACGGGGCTTTGTCATCAAGCAGCTTGCCGAATGAGATGAGTCGGATGGAGCTGGGCGATGATGGCCGCGGCTCCCAGTCTGCCAGGAATCATAAGTTAGCCACCCGCAACTTCCGAGACAACCCTGGGCTATTGCACGCATACCTTGGCGCCATTCTCGCCAGATCAATTCCTTCAACGTGTATACACTCATGGCGAAGGGATCGTAATTCTCTACATTGACCGACCGTTTCCGTAGGTATTTCCCATCGATCTTGAAAGGGTGTCGGGAGCCTGTTATCAAGAGCAGGGTGATCACCAAGGATGGGCCCGTGTCCTCCTCCTCTTTGGCAGCCTCATCTGATCCCTGGGACGATGGCTCGGAGCCAGCTGCCGGAGCCTTCGCCTCATCGTGTTGTTCCGGAGATGCGCTTGCAGATGGAGCCGCATCTACAGGGTCCTGCTTGGGAACGGGAGCTGGCGTATTGTCCTCATTATTGTCTGTGGGCTTCGCATCCACCGAACTGGGCTCTTGGCTCTCGGCCTGGGCGTTATCGGGATGAGGGGCGGCACTAGGAAGCTCCTGGGTTTCTGACGATGGCACGGCAATGGTTGTGGACTGCGAAGTCAGGTTGGAGTCGGAGGTGGGCGACATGGGATCAAATTTGGGGTCTTCGGTGACCGACATGGTTTGTTCTGACACACCTCGTGAAGCCGCACGAGTCAGATAGCGCGAGGGGAAGAAAGGAAGGCTAAGCTAGCAGTTCGGAATCGATGAAAACTTTAAAAGAGAGAATAGATCGCAGCGAAAATTCCGTTGGGGATAGTTGAACCGATATGGGAGTTGACTGATGAGGGTAAAAGGGGGGGAGGCGAATCAGGCTGGGGATTGAAGACAGGAGCGGATGAAGCAAGGCGATGCGCGCACGGAGGAGGGAAAGGAGGGCAGGCTGAGAGAGGGTGCTAAATTAGGTAGGCGAGGAGGAGTTTCCAAGGGTGGCCCGAACAAGAGACTAGAACCTTGATCGGGGATGGGTGAAGGGGGCCATGCGACCCGAAGGAGACCAGCGAGAGCGAAAAGGGGACGGCGTGAGTAGTGAGGAGACGAGGGACCACGAAGGCGATCGGGCGGGCCCACGAGTGGAGGAGGAGAAGAAGAAGAAGAAGGAGGAGAGGATTGATTATTACCCTGTGTGTAAGGCTGAAAGGGAGACTAAAAAAGGTTTATGGCAATAATGAAGAAGATGGGGAATGTATAAAGAATGGGAGAGGGGGAGGCAAAGGGGAGGGGGAAAGAGGAAGTAAGTACGGAGTAGGAGAAGGGGACAAAAAGACTGGATTGATTGATTGATTGATGGATGGGATGGACAGGGAAAGGGAGAGAGAGAGGAGAGACAAGACAAGACAGAACAGACAGAGAGGTCCAAGCCAGTCACTGCTGAGGGGAGCCCCGATCTGGTTGGTTGTTCCCCCGGGCGTCACCTTGGATCGGTGGGCCACCGCCCATAATTAACGGCCCTTTCTACTCTTCCTTCATCCTTCTCCTTCTTCTTTCCCTCTTCCCCTTCCGGTTCATCTCAATCATCGTTCGTCAGTTGAACTTGGCTTTGCATGCAGGTGATTCTTTGGGCGTCAGCATCGGCTTGAATGGACGGAATGAGAATCAATTCCCGCGTGCAGCTGAGGCCTTGGTGGCAGCGGATCCTGGTCGCTTCCGGACATATCTGCGTCATGAGGAGGTCGTGACACCTGTCATGCTGGAAATCGCTCCTGTTGACTCCATAGAAGCTGTGCGATAAAACCTCTACACATGGTTTAGATCTCTACGCTTAGCTTAGGGAGATAAGCAACTCCCAGACAATTCATGTTGTTAACTGGGCCCAAGGCATGCACGCGGAAGATAAAGATGTTCATTCATCAGATGATAGGTTCTATCTAATCAGTACAGAATGAATGCACCACTCCGACCATATGCCCCTTACACACTATACATGGTGCATTAGCGCTCTACACTAGAGTATGCCGCCTTGCTAAGGCTGTCGATTGAGGGGTTGCACCTGCTCAAGTGATCGTGTTTCATACCACCCTGCATACGTCTACCTTTCGAAGGAAAACGACGAACTATCCTTAAGAGAGCTCGAGCGCATCGACGAATTGATATCCGTGCGCTACTATGGTGCTTCTTGAGATAGACAAGCAATGACAAATTATCGCACATCAGCGATAATCGTTGCTTTACTTTGTGCGAGCACGTGCTGACGTGACCTGACATCTATGCAAGATCTTTAGACCAAGTGTTGGCCACGCCGGGACATTCAGCGGGGTCAGTCCCCTCGTAGCAGAACGAAATAGCTAAATCAAAGATAGGCATAGAAATATACCCGAAAAAAGACATGCTACGACGACGCAGTCGATTGGTCTGATTGACAAGCGTCTGAGACATACTACAGTCTAGAAGAGATCGCCAACACTCTAATCACGATACTAGTTCTAGGAGCTCTGCAAAACCCTATCTTATTCTTCTAGGCCTTTCCATGACTAATCTTGCAGAAATCTAGAAGCAAGAGGTTCAACTGCCTGCTTCGTCAGCTATGAATGAGATATGCGACACTGGAACTAGCTAGTCACTCTTGTCTATAGGACGACACCGACTTCATCAGTACCATGTTAAGGTCAGGGAGGAGACTATCGAACTTGTCAGTCTTATACCATGGTTAGAGGCACTGAATACTTAGACGTAGCCGTTCGATTACAAACACTACGCTTGAGTAGTATCTGTCATCTATTGGGGATGTTTTACACTAGAAGCGGTTGACTTTGTCTTCATGAGTGAACAGGACCCCGTTGCCTCAGGCCATTAAATATAAGTGGGTCGCTGATCAATCCACAGTCATATTTCAACTTCGAGAACTATTCTAGATCACAGGCCACCAGTTGGTTTGTCATCGAATATCCCGTCGCGCACACCTGCAGAAAGGTCCAGATATTATGGACTGGAACTTGTTTGATTTTTTCGTGCCCCCACGGTCTAGGCTTCTACTTGACCACTACATGATCAACACACTGGCACCTCTCCGTGGTGACTTTTTCGACAGCTGGGTCTCGCTTAGTATACGAAAATAAACCAGAGCTATCTAGACACAGGATAACGATGACGCTTCATGTCTCGTTTTGGAATGTATCACGGCTGAATTATATAGACTGAACTGGAGAATGTGTCCTCGCAGTCGCTCCATATTCCCGGCTCGTCGGCCGTATACTGTCGCATCTGTCGCACCGTCATAGATACACTGAAGCTCGGATACTCCAGTGCTAGCCTTTCCCAGAGTACCGATGGCTATCATAGCTGTTAACGATCGGTTCTAAGCTACCAGTTACTTTGTGTATATGCGTCAATGCTTGCAGACTTCGCACGAGGGGATCTCGTACTTCCTACTACGGGTCTGGCTCAAGAGCTGAATGGGAGCATTATATAGGGATATTACGAAAACTCGCATAGATAGTCAGCGCGGACTAAGAACAGATACAACCTCGACCGGAGACTCTGGTAACTTGTTCGGACACAGCTTTGTGCTCTCGTATATCTTCTGCGATGTCAGCGCAGATCGGCAAAGGATGGCATACAATGCAGCGCCATGAAGTCTACACCACGACAGGACCAAATTGAGGGATTATCCAATGTAACATGGCTAGACTTTCCCAAAAACCATGCTACCGTCTTGCAGTGTCTGCAGGCATAAAATCACATTCTCAATACGAAGGCACCGATAGGAAATGTAGCGAATCAGTGGTTGAACACGCATCGAGAATTCCAGGCCAGGGGTAGAAAGAGGCAGCCAATGCCAACTCACAGAGCAATGGCGATGAAGTTTATACCAATCTCACCAAGATTCGGCTCCTGTCCCATGCATAGGCACAGTCGAGTCGTCCAAGGCCTGACAGTCAAGCGATGGTGTTTCCCCAATGGCAATAGGAGCCATTGCCAAGAACCCTTAAATGCGTTAGAGAATCTATAGTGTAGCCATGAATCACAGTTTCTTCGATGTAGTATGTGTAGGTGCAAAAAGTCCGATACAATGGACGCAATGTATTGCTTCAGGAAAGGTTTTGTCCTCTTGGGAAGAACTGGGATTCCTTGAATTAGCCTTCTAAGTGGAGAGAGTTTCTCGACGTGTTTGAAGTGAACTTAACTCTGAGGAATAAGGATCCAATAAAGATGAAGTAGATGACTTTCTGAAGGTTGAGTACGCGTACTAGGAATGTGGACAACTACGTTAATACACAGTAGTAAGGGAGAGATGTGTAAGACATTGTATCAGATTTAACTTATTACAAGAGGCGAGCGAGGCAAGTGGGATCAATTCATTTGGAATGACTAATTCTCAGTCGCGTCTTTGTGAGAGTATTTAGAGGGAAGGCAGATACAAGCATAGTGCGTTGCTGTTTATCTCATTGTCATCCCGCCACCCGCACCTCCCCACCTCACACTCACTGCCACTCGACTGAATCATGCTAAAATCATCAGAAAGCAGCATGGTTTGAGCAGTATGTTCATCTTCCCAAATTTCGGACTTGGTGGGGCATCATCTACATTCCGCAATCTAATTTCTGTACGAGCCATCTATATCCGAAGGGCTCGTGGTCACGCCACACCGATAATGGTACGATCGACCAACTAGCTTGATAAATTAGCTTGATAAACTACAGTCCTCTTTGACATACAATATCAAATCGATTATAGTGAGCCAATTTGAAGATTCCAGAGCAAAAGTCTTGACAATTCGACATCATGATCGCTCGGTGAAGGGGCTTCATATCGGTGAATGTGTTACTGGATGATCGACGAACTTTTGCATGTTTGCTTGACCCATTACCCATAGGTATCCGACTTAACCGGCAGTCTTATCCCGTCTAGACTATCTCTCTGCTATTGTTATTGTGAAACTTGGTGCTAATTCGAGAACAGCTCGGCGATCCGTCGTCTCCTGATTGCCTAGGATTCCTGAAGATGCCAGGTCACCAAGAACATGTCCACGTGGACAAACAACCACCATGCCATGGTCCAGGATTCAGACATGGCTTTATGCCTCGCATTCGCAGGAAGCATTTGGTGGGCTAGAATAGCGGTATCCGTGGTATCTTTCCTGCCATGTTCTCGCCCGGTGACCGGCCTTGACAGTGACATCATTCTTGCCTGGATGTGCGTCAATGGTGTCCACGCCCAACAAAGACTCGTCTGAACTTGACCCAACATTTTGATTGTGAAGAAAAGAGGGGCGTCGTGAGGCTGGAAGGTAAATCATTCAAGTCCGGTTTAACCTCGAGGGGTAGCCTACCCCTCTGGAGCATTCCTCTCACCGAGGCATCCCTGAAAAGGTTTAGTTAACTGGATTGGGATAGAGAACAAGTAGACAGCAGCCCTTGCTGTCACACAACCCGGACCTGATACGGATATGCAGTGGCCCAGACCCAAAACTTCCCTGATGTAATTAGCTGTTTACGAAGCATGATCTGGATTTAAGTCATATGGCCACCCTACTGCAGGCCTGATTCCATATAAATGGCCTTGCCCCGTCACCCTAATCCTCAAACAGCGCCCCCTAACTCACTTATGCTGATCACCCGGGAAGGCTTAATCTTTCCTAGAGATGCTTCGACAGTCCCTCTCAATCGCAAAAAAGGCGACTCGGAAGCTCTACACTCATGATGACTCCAGTGATTTGAGTCTGGACTTAAACATCACAGAACCAGCGGTATTTGTGCCTACGTTTACGAACAAGCCGGCTGTCCTTCGGGGTACCTGCCAGTTAAGATTGAAAAACAATCTGACGGTAAAAAGGTTGACTGTGAACTTTCGTGGGACTAGTCGTGTGACATGGCCGCATGGTGAGGCTAACGTCTTGCTTGTAGGACCATCTGTCTTCGAAACTAATTCATGACGATCTCTCGCAGGGCTTCATGACACCCAAACCGTGACAGATAGCACGTTGACCTTGGTTAGCCCACAGGTCACGGATCCCGCACTTCCCTGCTATTCAAGCGCCCTGTCCGAGGGAAGAAAGTCCACATGGCATAGGGATAAACGCAAGCTGCGGAATGCAGCTCCGTCCACGTTATGTATGGACGGAACACACGGAAAGGCAGCAGGGCCAAAATATCAACGTCTACCCGCTGGAACACATACGTACGAATTTGAGATGGTGTTACACTCTCATCTACCAGAATCAATCGAGATTCGACAATCCCATGTCCAGTACCGGGTTCGCGCGTGCGTCGAGTGCCCGGGTTTTCTGAAGCGAAGCTTTGCAAAAAAGCGGGCTATTGCTACGGTTCACTGTCCAGCTGAAGACGACGTGGAAGACGCTGAACCAGCATACATTGCGCGGGCTTGGAAAGGGCTGCTTCAATGTGGAATCCTCGTTTCGAGGCGAGGCGCTCCCCTCGGTGACCGGCTGCCTGTTACAGTATCCCTTACGGAATCGAGGAAATCCGAGTTCCGGGGCCTGCAGGTTTTTCTCTCGGAGAACGTCCAATATCACCAAAAGGATGGACTTGCATGCTGCCCGGGTCCTTTTAGACGCGTTATATTATATGAAAAAGTGGAGAAAACTGGACCCACAATGTCGTTCCACCGGGCCGAGAATGTTGATGATGAGCGGCCAGAATCGGCTGCGAAGGATGACGGAGCACTTGCGAAGTTGGTCGGGGATCCCGAGATACCAAGTGGACTAGAGGCTGCCGAAGAGGAGACTGTGATGGACCTTACCTTGCAACTTCCAGATTGCCATTTACATTGTGTATCGACTGGAACGCAAGGCATGCACTATGATACCAAGTATAAGAATGTGAGGGTGAGCCACTGGCTGGAGGTAAGGCCACAAAACTTGGGAGAATGACTCGAAACGGAAAACAAAAGGAAAATCAAACTAACGAAGAGCGTGCAGTTTGTTTTTATGGTGTCCCCAAGGGATAATACCCTCGGTTCAAGCAGCGAGCGCATTGTGCAAAAAGTGGCGAAGGTTCCACTCGCACTTCGGTCCTGTTATGCTCAGCATACCAATGCTTCTCTGCCAGCGTATGGTGATGCCTAGGAATTCCGCTGTGGCCGATAGGTTCGGTTCGTCCACACACAAACGACTACGACCAGCAGCAGTACCACACCACCACCCACCATCATCTCCACCCCCTCCGCCTAGGAATGATTATAAAGATAAGCATTAATAAAAATGGGGTAGGCCGCTGGGCGTACCACTGGACCGAATGCCGCGGGAGGTCGGGAAAGCTTCGGTGGCACCGTCGATTGGCGACCGTTCCCGGTGGCGATCTCCAGCCGTGTTCAAGCCTACCCGCGGCCGTGGCCTGCATCACAGTCTACCGAGATCCACCTTCCGTCTGTGAGTGGATGGTTGAAAACTCTTCAGAGAGGTTAAACGCTTCCAGGGACAAGGGAGGCCCATTATGTCCAGAAGACCCACGCTAAACCTGCCCTTGCACGGGCCTTGCCTCCACTAAGTGGGGATCTAGTGAACCCTGTGTGGGCCATCCGGTTTATCAGGCGCCATGAAGTTGCATCACTCGCTGCGCTTTCCGACGATCATCCACTTCGGAATGCATCATCCTCACATCATCGCGCAACCTGCCCCGAAACCATCGTGCTGCTCACCGAAGATCCTGTCGTGGACAGTTGGCGGTTGCCCATTCGCACCACTGGCCTGTGATGTCAGTCGCAGGTCCATACCCATGGGTGAATCCGCTGAGATGTGGAGGGCTAAGACGCTTCCAATCTTTCCCCGTGGGTGTGCCCCCCTCTGGGACGGCTCAAGTTGCGCTCCACTGTCGGTGGCCGCATGCGGTTTTCCATTCTTTTAAGTCTGCTACATCTGCCAGTTCGTTTCCTCTCCGCTGTCGCCTTCTTCACGATCACTCTTCCTCCCTTTTCCCTCTTTCCCCATCTCCTCCTCCTACCCCAGTTCCCCGGATTTCGTGCGCAGTCCCAGCGCTGTTTGGTTTGATCGACTCGGCATCATGGCGCCCCCAAAGTACGCCGGCATGTCTGGCCGGAAACTATCCCTGTTTCTATCAGGCATTGCTACGATGGGTTTCCTGCTCTTCGGTTACGATCGTAAGTTGTCGATCCCAGTATGTAACCATGCAAGGGCAAGCTACTAACCACTATCACTCTAGAGGGTGTAATGTCTGGTATTATCTCGGACCCCGCGTTCAATAATGTCTTCACGGCTACGAAGGACGACAATGTCATGCAGGCCACTGTCACTGCTGTCTACGAAGTTGGTCAGTAAATGTCACCTCGGCATCAAGTGTATGTCAAGTCACTAATGCTTGCCTTGCAGGCTGCCTCTTCGGTGCTATCTTCGCTTTGATTTTCGGTGAAACATTGGGTCGCCGTCTTATGGTCATCTCAGGCGCTTGGGTGATGATCATCGGTGTCATCATCCAGGTTACCGCCATGCCAGGCCATATTCCTCTGCTACAGTTCATCTTCGGTCGTGTTATCACTGGTATCGGCAACGGCATGAACACCTCGACTATTCCCACTTATCAAGCCGAGTGTTCTAAGACGACCAACCGTGGTCTCTTGATCTGTATTGAGGGTGGTATTATCGCCATTGGAACAGCGATCGCTTATTGGATTGACTTCGGTGCCCACTACGGCCCGCCTGATCTTGTCTGGCGCTTCCCCATCGCATTCCAGATCTTCTTCGGTATCTTGATCATTGTCGGCATGACGTATCTTCCAGACTCTCCTCGATACTTGATCGCCCACGGCAAGATTGAGGAAGGCACCCGGGTTCTTGCTGCGCTGGCAGATGCAGAAATTGATGACCCTCATGTTCAGTTGGAGAAGCAGCTGACGCTCGACTCGATCAGAGCGTAAGTTCTTTCGATATAAGATCTGATGGCTAGCAAAACTGACATTGTATTTAGGTCCGGTTCCTCCAAGGCTAAGTTCCGTGATCTGCTCACCGGTGGTCCTTCCCAGCATTTCCGCCGGATGATTGTAGGATCATCTTCCCAGTTCTTCCAACAGATCTCTGGATGCAATGCTGTCATCTACTATCTTCCTGTGCTGCTGGAACAGTCTATTGGACAATCACACAACTTTGCCCTTTTGATTGGCGGTGTGAACATGATCTGTTACGCTATCTTTGCCACCTTCTCTTGGTTCTTCATTGAGAAGATTGGTCGGCGTAAGCTGTTCCTCGGTGGCAGCTATGGTCAATGTGCTGCTATGATTATTGTTTTCGGATGCTTGATTCCGGGTGACTCCGAGAGCGCTAAGGGAGCTGTCTTTGGCTTCTTCCTTTACATGTGCGTCTTCGGTGCCACCTGGCTTCCCCTGCCTTGGCTCTACCCGGCCGAGATCTCTCCTCTCAAGACCAGATCCAAAGCGAATGCCGTGTCTACTTGCAGCAACTGGCTATTCAACTTCACTGTTGTCATGATCACTCCTGTCATGGTTCAACACATTGGTTGGGGTACCTACCTCTTCTTCGCCGCTTGGAACGGTCTCTTCATCCCCGTCATTTGGTTCTTCTACCCGGAAACTGCCGGTCGCAGTCTGGAAGAGATCGATTTGATCTTCGCCAAGGGTTACGTTGAGAACATGAGCTACGTCCGGGCGTCGAAGGAACTGCCCAAGCTCACCGACGAGGAGATCGAGGCCAAGGCCGCTGAGTACGGAATTCTTGGCGACGAGGAGAAGGCTGAGGAGAGAATCGCCGAGAAGGATCCTCCCGCGTCTGCTGAGTTCTCTCAGTTCCAGCCTACCCAGCTGTAAAGGGTGTATACCACACATTACCACCTTCCATTACTTGGTCTTTGAAAATTTTTTCGCATGATGATATGCTTTGGACATGAGTTTTATACCATTTTGTTTTGATTTTTCTACCGAGCCGTTGCAGGACAACCAAGCTTACGCGTGTATTATCTGGCACTTTGTGCTTATTGTGGCTCTTTTCAAAGATTCTTGGCTATGGTCCAAGGTGAGGGAAGAGGAAGCACTTGTTCATAATTTACGCGTGGTTGTTGAGCAGCCTCGAGATGTATTATGGTCATCTGCGTGTAGATGTTATGTCCGATAGAGTGATCTATAGATCTCTGTTTGCTCTTGGCAGTTTGATACCTTTTGATTGCTACATGAACAATCGAACCATGTCTTTGACAATATGCAAAATCCATACAATTATTAGGGTAACAATGTATATCATTGAACGACGATCCCAAATTATTGCAAAGCATCTATTACCAGAAACCTAAATTATCAAGTCTATCAGAAGACTAGCGGCAGGACCCATGGATCAAAAGCAAACATACCTGTAGTCCGGGCACTAATGTTCTAACCTGCAGATCCGAACTCTAAATTCATCCTCCGCTAGCGCCATCGAGTTCAATAACCAATAGCTCAAGCCACATTTGATTGTGGATTCTGAGGACGGACATGCCATTGACTGCATTCATGATCTATTTAGCCCTACGGTTCAATAGTGTGCATGAGGGAACATACTGGAACAACTTCTTGGAGACCAAGTAGACACCAGTTCCGACAATGGCAACCTTGGCGAACTGCCCGAAGCCTGGAGCGCCATAACCCCGAGCATAGAGATGGCGAGCGTAGTTCTGATTAAAATAGGGAGTTGGTGAACGCATATTCGATGTGATCCATACAGATAATAATAGCCGTTTTAGGCGATAGTAAGCCAGTCTATGTCCCCATGGTGGAATGATTGATTTATACTTGGTGAAGTTCGGGGTTCGAGAATCCTTCGCGGGCTCGGCCTCGGTCTTTAGCGCTGGGAAGACCGAGTTCTCGGCTTTTGACTTCAGTCAGCCTCACCATGAACATCACCACCATCACATAATCACTATCTCAGCTCCTGTGAGCAAGCTAGTTTAGGAAATTGGCATTCTGTGTGTATAATTTTGGTCCTATTAACCCTGTTATCTATGGTATGTGCAGACTAACACCATCCAGCTGCATACGGCATCCATGACCGACACCGAACCTCGCAAACGTCGCCGGCCCGCTAAATCGTGTGAGCAATGCCGCCAACGCAAGGTTCGCTGTGACCGCAATGTACCCTGTGGGCCTTGCACACGAGCTCGCTCATCTTTGGGTTGCTCTTATCGTCGGGTTAGTCGTTCTCCGTCACCGACTGATCACCAAGCATCTCCCCTTATCTTGCATGAGCCGCAGCGCAATGCACAGGGCTACCCGCTGCCATCTGGGATGCCAGATGGCTCAACGGGGTCCCTGGACGAAACGCCACACATTGGACCTCAATGCGGTGGCAAGGAATGCATCTCGTCGCAGCTAAGAGCAACGATCCGTGACCTCCAGCTTCGTTTACAGCGTCTGGAGGAACAATCAACCAGCCCGGACATAGCACGGCCATCGGCCCCAGAACCTGATATCCAACAGGTACTTCGAGAGCTGTGCGACAAGGTCCAGACCCTGGAGCAGCGGTTACTATGTACGCAATCAAACCAAGCACCGAAAGGAGAACTGGCCATTGCTGCAGCGCCTCCTCGACTGCACTCCAGTTCCAAGAAGATGAAGCTGTTCGGGCCAACTCATTACATGCACACGATGGATAAGGTGCGAGCCCTGTCTCCATGATGAATCGGATGAAGACTAACTATACGTAGCTCCAACTCGTGGGCTCACTGGAAACTCGGGGTCCCCAGCCACTATGCCCCGAATTCAAGGCAGAGCTAACTGCTCAAATCAAAGAGCTTCATCATCTCCGTGGATCAGTCAAAGCAGCACAGAGTCCCCGGTTGAACAACCCTGTGCCAGACTTGCTCTCTACCATCCCAGCCAGATCGGTATGCGATGAGCTAGTGCAATGCTACCTGCGAACATTCGAAAGCATCTATCGCATCGTGCACATACCATCCTTCAATAAAGAATACCAGCAATTCTGGGACCACCCTCCAGCAACACCCACTCCATTCCTCATGAAGCTGGCATTGATCCTCGCCATCGGCACAACCTTCCACCCACAACGAGGCAAAGCCGGCAAAGAATACAATACTCGACTCATTCAAACCTGGATCTACGCCGCCCAATGGTGGCTCACAGGCCCAACCGAAAAGAACACATTCAACCTGGACGGCCTCCAGATCTTCTGCCTACTCCTCCTCGCCCGCCAACTGGGATCCCCAGGCCCATCTCTATACCTCTCCGCCGCCTCCCTCCTACAGACAGCCACAGCCATGGGCCTGCACCGCGACTCAGCCCACTTCCCATCTCTCTCCCCATTCCAATCCGAAATGCGAGCCCGTCTCTGGGCCACCGTCCTCGAACTAACCCTCCAGTCCTCACTCGACTCCGCCTCCCCCATCCCAATCCCATACTTCGACACCAAACCCCCATCCAACCTCAACGACACCGACATCCACCCAGACCTCAAGCACCTCCCAACCCCTCATCCCAAAACCACCCACACAGACACATCCCTCCAACTTCTGCTCCACGACTCCTTCACCCTACGCGCTGAAACCATCCACCTCATCCACAGCCCCAACACGATCCCGTACCAAAAGGCCCTCGACCTGACCACCAAACTCCGCACCACCTGCCACACCATTACCACCACCACAACACAATCATTCCACCACTCCCACCTCCTCACAACCCTAACCCGCTACATCCTCCACCTACACCTCCCCTTCGCCCGCGCCGCCCACACAAGCCCTCAATACCACTATTCCCGCAAACTATGTCTCGAAGCCGCCCTCACAATCGCCTCGCTCGCCCCAACCACCACCACCACCACCTCCTCCTCCACTCCCCTCGACAACGACTTCCCCCTCCTAACCCTCACAGCCCGCGGTCCCCTCCGCGGCCCGCTAAACCTCGATGTAATCTGCACATTGGCGCTGGAACTCATCACCCAGATAGAGGAGGCCCCGGACATCACAAATACCCCCAATAACAGTAATAATAGTCCCTTAAGCATGCTAGCATCAACAATACGAACCCCCATCCTACACACCCTCTCGAACCTCGCACTGCAGAGCGCACACGTCCTGGAAATGCATGGGAAGTCGCCGGCGCTGAAACGGTATATTCTCTCTCAGGCGCTGGTGGCGCAGATTAGGGCTTTGGAAGATGGTGCTGGTGCTGGGGATGTGCAGGGGGTGGTGTATGAGGCTGTTAGGGGGTGTTTGAGGGATGGGGTGGGGATGTTGAGGGGGATGGAAAAGGAAGGTATTGCGGAGGGGTTGGGGGTGGTTACGCCGGATAGTGGTGGTGCTGGTGGTGATGCTAGTGCTGGTGCTGGGGAGTTGGATGGGATGGGAGAGGGGTTGGGGATTGGGATTGGTGTGGTGAGTAATACTTGAGCTTGAGTTGTTGTTTCTGGAAAGAGGCTAATTGTTGGTTTCATGTAGGATGATCTTGAGGGGTGGGATTTGGCGAGTTTTTTGTATGCGCCTGGGTTGGTGGATTTGGGGGGTTGGTAGTAAGTAGATGATAAGGATGATAACATGATCATGGATGAAGGTTTAGAAAAGTCCTGATGGTAAACTTGTGATAAGATTAATGAGTGTATGAAAGGGATGATCGTCTCTATTATTAAGGCATGTGATGGTAATATTCTCGCTTATGCGTGGTCATGTTCATGCTAACAATGCACTCGTGGTAAAATAGTATACCTCAGACCTGTAGAGGGCTAGAACCACCCTACATACTGGTCCAACGACTCATTCTGCACACCGGCAGAACCATGGCGCACCCCGAGAAGGCGGACATTCCCGATCTTGCCCCCAAAGTCATCTTCCAGTTTGCTCTCCCATGTCTCAAAGAGCTGAGTCAAACGCTGGATGACATCCGCCTTGTCCTCGATGAGCACGGCCAGGGCATCGTACCCACCGGCGCCGGGGACGACTCCGCCAACAACACCCTCGATGCTGGTGATGGCATCAAGCAGCTCGGTTTGCACCTTGGGCTCGATGGGAACGCCGGCCTTCTGGGTCATGGTGCGGATGAGGTCCCGAGAGCGTTCGATAAGACGACGAGTATCGTCAAAGCCGTTCGGGGTTTCCACATCTGGGCTCTGCGATAGCTGCTTCAGCTCCAAGCACAGTCGCTCGTTGTTGGACTGAAGTGCCTGCCATAGCATCAGGGACTCTTCCGGGTTCTGCTTGCGCCATTCCAAGACCTTCCGGACCATGGACGGGGTCTGAGAGCCGCATTCCACATCACACAAAACCATCTGCATTCCCCGGGGGAGCTTCATGCCGAAATCCAGACACTCCGTATCCCACGAATGCTTGGGGTCGGCATCTTCGACGATGGCAAACAAGCGCTCCTCGAAACCTGGTGACCCAACATCCCCCACTGACTCCAAGATGGACGGCGAGAACCGCCGGTACAGGCAGGAACCGTAAATCGCTGCCGCCACGTCAAACCCAGATCCCACTTTGCCTTGTGCTGCACAGTGAGCGGCCTGCGCCAGGTTGTGCAGCTTCTCGCGAGCAGCCCCGAGGTCCTCGGGCTGCAGGGTGCGGTGAATGACCAGAGCGGATACAAAAGCGGTGACCAGGGCTGCGGAGGAACCCAATCCGGTTTTATGTGCTTCATGCAGGGGCACGCCAAAGTTCACGAATCGTCCCGGAGACTGGAGGCTGGAGATCTTGGAGAAGGCGGTTTCCGAGTAGTAGTCGTTATCGGCAAGGATCGTGATGGAAAGGGAGCCGAAGTCTTTCGAGGCGGCCACGTAGCTGATGTACGTCAAGGCGTAGTTGAGAGAGGTTTCGACAAACGGGTTTGCTCGTCTGCTGCAAACTTAGCCCTGGTAGCTCCAAATGCGAGTCTAGGCACCTCACCCATCGTTCTTCTGTACGACCTTGACCCCACCTCCGTTATCGCAACGCTGGATGCCATACTCCCACACCGCGTCGACAAACTGCGGGGAACGAACGACGATGACGTCCTCACTAGCTTGTTCATCTGCAGCCTCATCTTCAGTTATCTCCGCACCATCCCTGTTTTATGTTCGAGTCCGGACATACCACTGCGGTGAGATCTTCTCAGTTGCTGAACAACGACATGGATACGAGCGTCGAGGGCGAAGACTGTGCCGGTGTAATCGCGGTCCAGGACTAGGTAGCCGCCGGTGAGAAGGACCTTTCCAGGGGCGGACACCGCCGTTACTGTAGGAGCTTTGTAAGACATGAGGGGGAGCGAGGAGAGTGTGCGGTTCGGGTATCACGAAGGAGTGGGCGCTCTATTCCGTCTGGCACGGGTGAGGAACTAAAGGGGCGAGACGGTTAGTATATAACCCCAACCAAACTGCAAGCGATCAAGTTGAAATGTGATCTTCAAGGAGATAATGTACGCACTGTCAGACCAGTAAGCGTGGTCGGTGAATAATCCAATGGGTTGGCAAATGCGAAGGGCTGCAAAAGCAAATCGGGGCTTGGAACAGTTTGCGAACTCCGTCAATATGGAGGAGCCCCGCTTAGAGGGGAAAGTCTACAAGTCTTGCGGGGAGAGACAACCTGCAAGGAGAAAAAGGATAAGGAAGAGGCCCAGAGCGGATGCATGATGACTGACTGACTGACCTGCGTCTGGTAGCCGAAGATCGGAGATATGTGTAGAGCTGCAGCGGCACCCAGCGTCTGTCAGTTGTTGATTGTTGAGTTGAACTGAACTGGTTGACATGTTGATGTGCCACTTTCCACTCATTTCCTTCCAAACAGGCAAACTGTGGCTGGAGCTCTCCAAGTGTGGCTTGACGAGTGGCTGTCATCCAAGTGTGGTCCCGTGATCTGCATCTGATTACTGTTGATAGAATACCCGCCAACTTACTCCGGAGATTTGACTGGAAAATTAGCCCATGGCTATCTCTTCCGTACTTTGTACTCTGGACTGTCGTCATGGAAGATAGCCCTATGCGCTAGAGCAGCAATTGCATCTACGTCAGCGGAAGAGTGACATCCGGTGGTGGCAGTGTAGAGTTAATGCATGGGTGTACTCCGAAGATAACAATCTAACTTCTCTGTACTGTCATCTGATGCCGGAGTGTTTGACAGGCAGCAGCTTCAAAGGATGCAGTTTATCGCGTCACATCTTGTTTTATTAAGTGATGCTGCAGGCTCATCGCGGAGCAAGAGCCATGCTGGGAGCAGGACCGAGAAGGTCAGTGGTAACAGCTCATAATCTGCTCGGTCACGCTCCTCCATCTATCGTCCTCTCTAACACCCGGATTTAAGGTACCCCCTAAATTGACTTCCGTCAACGGACTGTGTACCAGGGGTCCGGGTCCAGAGACCTGGTCAACAGTTCGTATCTGATCGAAGGGACCAATTAGCAGTCTCCTTATTTGAGGCCACAGTGTCTTCCACACGGAGATTAGCCTGGGACCACGCCGTAAATACGTCTCGCGATCTGAGACCATAGGGCAAGGGTCATCATCCCTTTGGGGAGAGCCAAACCCAAGACGGAGAGTCGGCCATCCGGGTGTCCGGCGGGCTGTCGGGGTCTGGCAGTCAAACTCCGGGCCCGAAGAAAAAGAGCCGGAACGGAGGGTGACTCACTAAGAGGAGCGGGCCGGCCAGACTGGTCCGGAGGGTGACAGACAGTGGCAGAAACCCATTCTAATGGCAGAGAATGGCAAATGGCAGATGCCAGGGGAGGATCCAGAAAATGGCGCTCCTGTTCTTCCCTACGGCCCCAGTGTGTCGCGTGCCCCGATTGGGTCTGGCTTACGATCCGGGGCTTGCCGTGAGACCACCTGATCAGCTCCTTTTGGGAATTCCCGCTCCTCCTGCGCCTCAGGCAACAACGACGCTTCTCGAAGGCTGACGTTGCTTCTGTTTCTGCCTCTGTTTTCTTGTTTCGTGTGCCTGTGGATGCCGGAGAGAATTTTTCGTAGGATTTTTTTACTTTTTCTTACTCATTTTCTTGTTCGTCCATGGCTCATGGTCGTACTCCTTTTTTGACTTTGTAACTACTTAAGACACTGTTCCTTAATTTTCCGTAGGGGCGTTTTTCTTGTTCTTTACCCCTCTTAACGGATAAACGGACGAAGTCTACAAATTTATAGCCCAGAGTCCCTTCTTCTCGGTAATACTCAATGTCTTCCCCACATATACTAATTCCCATCACTAATACATTCAAGACCAACAATACAATTAGTTTTCCCTTTTCAGCTTGTTGTGAGGGTTCCTCATTCCGCGCCCCAGTGAAAAACTCAATTCTCCGCCTTCCCATTGGTCCGCAAAAGTACCTAGTCTCGAAACAGGAAAAGTCGGGATAGGATCGGCGCTAACCCGCTTTAGGCACGCCCGGCGATACAGATCAGCTTTCCGGCGGCTTTGAAATACCCAGCATTTCCCTCCACACGATCTGCAGCTACTGAATTCTCATCCTCTTGTCACTGAAAGGCTTTTGCCAAATTTCATTTTCCTCCCTTCTGTCCCCTTCCCTCCTTTATCCCGCGCGTTCCTTTGGCGACCTGACGTCGTCAAATGAACCTGCATCTTCATTATTATTTTGATTGCAAGGTACGCTTTCCCGTGGCGTCTTCGGACAAAAGGCACACAAAATCCGAACTATCAGAAAATACCACGTGTAGACACAGTCACTGACATTTTCACCAGCATTGCCTCTTCCCTCTGAAGAGGTCACCCGCTAGATAAATGGTCTTCAAGCCGTTTACCCACCTCGCGCGTCAGAGTTTCACTAAAGCCTTTACTCATGGCTATGCTCAATCCGTAGTCGCGGCGTCGCAGTCGTCATACGCGTCGACCACCACATTCAACCAGATTGCCAGTCAACCCGCCGCTAAGCTATCTCGGACGACGCAACTACAAAATGTTTTCCAGCCATCTAGCTCGTCCGGTGCGGGCGCCAAGGCCAGCCAGGGCACTTCGGGCTCCGGCGATTTGGGCTTGGCTGCCTACTATGCTGCCTGGCAGCATGCCCAGCAGACGGGCGACGACAGTGACTGGAAGCAGATGCAATTGAAAAGGAAGGTTGGCTGGAAGCCGTCCTTGAACGAGGATGGCGTCAAATCGAAAGAGTCCGACAACCTGCCCTCGACCGACAACAACTTCCAGAATTCGCCTCATATCACCAAGGCGTCCGCCAACGCAGATGTCAGTGCCAAGGTTGAAGAAGCTGTAGCTCGGGAGATTCAAATACAGGAGGAGCAGGCTCAGGTCGATGAGGCTTCCGAAGCCAAGGAGAACACGGATACGGAAGCTTTCCCTGACTTGCCGCCGGATGTTGCTGCAGTCGCCGATGCCTCCTCCGAGCATTCCCGCCTTGCTTCAGAACACATCACCGATTTGGCATCAGGCAAGAAATACGCTGAAATCCCCGGAGCATTTGCAACGCTTCTGCGGGACGGTCTTACGCCTACGGTCGGTGCCTACAATGCTCTTCTCGAATCGGCCATTCAACTCCATGGCGATACTGCTCAGGCTATTCAGAAGGCACTGGATGTCTACTCGGACATGCTTCGTCGCAGGGTAGTTCCCGACGAGCAGACCTACCAAACTTTGGTGCAGCTTTTCGTGGTCCGTGCCAACGATGCCATCAAGTCTAAGGGCATGCTGGAGCAGGAGCGTGTTCGCTACGGTGGTATGGAGGAGCCGGGCAAGTTCATGTTGCACTCCAGTGAGCTGGAGCGCGCCATTCTTGCCGAGGATCACTCTTTGGGAATTGCCATGAAGTTGTTTAACACTGCCGCCACGCGTCATGCCGATCTCGTCTTCCCTCTCGACACCTACCGCCATCTGATCAATGCCTGTGCAAAGGAGGGCCAGGTCGAAGACATGATCCGAGTGTATGGGCATATGGAGTCCCACAATGTGACCCCGCACGCTTCGATTTTCCCGTCCATGATTGATGCCTTTGCCTCCACGGGAGATCTGCAGAGTGCTGTGGAATGTTACAACGAATACAAGGGATTGGCGGTTTCGGACGATAACGGAACCTTCTGCATTGTGCAGCGGTTGGATGGTCAGGTGTACGCTGCTCTGGTCCGGGCGTACCTGGTCTGCGGGAAGGAACAGCAAGCTTTGCGATTCCTGGAGCGGATCCAGGCCTCCTTTGAGGAGGTGACTGAGAACCGTGAGGCGCGTCAGCAAGCCTTGGAATCGGCCGTCGTGCAGGATGGGCTGGTGCAGCATGCGCTCACGTCGGGCGAGTACGGGCGGGCGTTGGACCAGGCCAAGACCCGGTTGCGCGATGGAGCCCTCGATCATGCCATGTCCCAGATCTGCATTGCCGCGGCGGATGCGGGTAATCTGCAGACAGCTTCCGAAGCATACGATGCTCTCCCCACCGACATGACCATTCGTCAGAGGCCCGCCGTCTCAATGCTCGCCTTGCATGTACGTCAGGGCAATGTGTCAGCTGCCCGGGCTGTGTGGCTCACCCTGAACACCACCGGTCAGGCAACACCGGACATGGTCCAGCCGACTGCCATGTATGCGGTGGCACTGTTGAAGAGTGGTCAGATCGAGGAAGCCTTGGTTCAAGCTCGCAATATGTTTGCTCGTGTCCGCAACGCTTCCGCCGTCGCTGACAACTCTATTCTGAACCCCATCCGTGAACAGATCAACGAAAGCCTTCATCTCATCGGTCGCATTCTTGTGCAGACAGCGGCTGTTCTCTCTCCTCAAGCTGCCATGTCTCTCCTGTGGTCGATGGTCGAGAACGGTGGCCTGATCTCCCCTGTCGCTGAACATGTCGTCGCCAGCCTTGGTCCCATCGGTATCTCTCAACTGAACGCCCGCGATCTCATGCTTGCCCTCCAGGTTCAGGCTGGCATGCTGCTCAACCACAGCGCTATGTTCGACGTGGCTCACCCCATTCGTTTCTCTCACATGCTCGACATTGCTCTGGCTACCGGGTTGCCCATGGATGCTGCCACTACTCGTGTCGTTGACCAGGCCGTCGGCAAGCTTTTCAACAGCCGGCCGGACATGGTCAAGAGATGGCACGACCACTTGGCTTTGACCTCCAGCCCGTCCTCCTTCATGAGCGGCCGCCACTCTCCCAGCTCGGATGTGTCGACGATGACCCCCATGTCCTCAACCGATGATTCGTTTGACCCTTACGCCTACGCCACCGACTTCCGCGGATCGTCGATGATCTCCGACGAGCTGGAGAGCACCAGTGGCAAGCTGGAGGCTCACCTGAACGACGCTCTTTCTCGGGTCCGCAACATGCGCCGCAACGGTCGTCACCCTCGCTACATCACGTACGCCAAGATGATCACGGCCGCTACCAAGTGCAACCGGGTCGATCTGGCCTACGAGATCCTGAGTATGGCTAGACGCGATGTGCCTCTCCTTCCTCAGTACAGCGCCGTCAAGTACGGCTGGGTTTCGATCCTAGATGCCATGGTGGCGTCGTGCCTGACTCTGGGCGACCGCAGCCAAGCCTCCAAGTTCCACCAGGAGCTTCTCGAACTTGGCTCGGCTCCTTCTGCTAACACCTTCGGTCTCTACATCACCACCCTCAAGGAATCCACCAAGACGTTCGACGAAGCCACCGAGGCCTTGAAGATCTTCCACCGCGCCGTGGCCGAGGGAGTGGAGCCTACTTCGTTCCTGTACAACGCGCTCATCGGTAAGCTGGGCAAGGCCCGCCGGATTGATGACTGCCTGCTGTACTTTGCCGAGATGCGCGCCAACGGAGTCCGTCCGACGAGTGTCACCTATGGAACGATCGTCAACGCCCTCTGCCGGGTCAGCGACGAGCGTTTTGCCGAGGAGATGTTCGAGGAGATGGAGTCCATGCCCAACTACAAGCCCCGCCCGGCCCCGTACAACTCGATGATCCAGTACTTCCTCAACACCAAGCGCGACCGCAGCAAGGTCCTGGCCTACTACGAGCGCATGCTGACCCGGAACATCCAACCCACTATGCACACCTACAAGCTGCTCATCGACGCTCACGCCTCTCTGGAGCCCGTGGACATGCCAGCGGCTGAGAAGGTCCTCGAGACCATCAAGGCTGCTGGCCAGCGACCTGATGCCGTCCACTACGCGTCCCTGATCCACGCCAAGGGATGTGTGATGCACGACATGGAAGCTGCTCACGCTGTGTTCAAGTCTGTTGCGGAGGAGCGCAAGGTGCGGATGCAGCCCTGTCTGTACCAAGCTCTTCTGGAGGCTATGGTGGCCAACCACCAGGTCGCACAGACCGAGGAGATCGTCCGGGACATGGCCCGCCGTGGAGTGGAGATGACTGCCTACATTGCCAACACTCTCATCCACGGATGGGCTACGGAGGGCAGCGTGGCTCAGGCTAAGACGGTGTATGACAGCATCGGCATCGAGAAGCGGGAGCCTAGCACCTATGAAGCGATGACCCGGGCCTTCCTGGCCAACAACGACCGGGAGGGAGCCTCGCGCACCGTGCAGGAGATGCTCTCTCGCGGGTATCCCCCGGCTGTGGCCAGCAAGATCGCCGATCTGGTGGGCACGGGAGCTGCTGTCGCTGCTCTGTAGAGTGTTCTCTTACAGTGTTTTTGCTTTACATCCAACAAAAGTTGCCATCCTTTTTGATTTTCGCGGATTACAAAACCTTATTGACTGAATCACTATCCGGTTTTAATTCACCAGGGCTGGATCCCTGCTTTTCGGCTTTTTCCAGCCCGATGGTCTCGGCAGAGGCATTTGGGAGGGCAACTTGTGCTGGCTGATTGATAATGTTGATTTGTTTGAGACTTGCATGCATTTAGCGAACTGGCACAGGCGTTGTGGCAGCATTTGGGACTGGCTTGTATATACCATGATTTGATGTGTTTCGATAGATCCTCTCAGCTCTTTAGTGTCTATATGAATGGACCATAAAATATTTCCAGCATATTTTGCGCAGAGATCTCGATTTATCCATTGTAGATGTAGATGTAGATGTAGATCCATTAGATGGTGACGTTGAGGTGCCGAGCCGGCTGATGGTGTTTTGGCCGCGAATGACTGCATGACCCCGCCGCCCTCCGCATCGCTTCCTCCCACTTCTTTGATCAGCCCATCTTCACTTCTCTGACTGACTCCGGCAATTGAGCATCGCACGACCAGTCGATGCATCCTTATCGCCTGCGTCTATCTCTTCATCAATCCCTCCGTCAGCTACAATCAGTCACCTGGTGTCATCATTACAGCTCCGGCCGTACCTCTACGATGAATCCCGGATCACTGCCCGATGGGCCCAGCCACGAGGCAAAACATCCCAAGAAGCTGATCTGTACGTATTCGCAGGATACTCCAAGGGATTCTATTACTCACCACATACCTAGTCGCTCCAGGAGATATCCAGACCACCTCCGAGCCCAAAATCACCCCCACCGAGACGCCCGATCCATCCGCTACAGCCATCGGAGTCACAACAGCACCAGCACCCATCTCTCGTCTCGCCGCAGAAGCCCTTCGCTCGAACGCATCGACGCCCGACTCGGTGACTGAAAATGAGATCGTTTCCCACCCTGCCCGCGCTCATCAGTTCGTGAGCAACCCGCCGCTCACCATCTCCCAGATGCACCCGACCAATCCCCTCCACCAATTCCACAACTGGTTCCGCGATCCTCGTCTCCTTCCGTCGTCCGCACCTGAAACCTGCACCCTAGCTACAGCCAGCATGCCCTCCGGCCGTGTGAGCGCCCGTGTCGTATACCTCAAGGAACTGGACGAGCGAGGCTGGGTAGTATACAGTAACTGGGGCAGTCGAGAAGGCAAAGGCGGACAAGTATTCGGCAACCACGCAGACGGCGAGGACACGCTCAGCGCCATGCCCGAGCCAGGCCAGGACGAGTCTCTCCAGGCCGGATTACAGGAGGGCAACAAATGGGCGGCGTTGACATTCTGCTGGTCGAATCTGGAGCGTCAGGTGCGCATTGAGGGTCTTGTCGAGCCGCTCAGTCGCGACGAGAGCGAGATGTACTGGCGTACTCGGGAACGAGGGAGCCAGATCGGAGCGTGGGCGAGCTGGCAGAGCAAGGTGCTGTGGTCTATGGAGCCGGAGTTGCTTCTGGATCGTCGGCGCAAGAGCCTGGACCCGACTTCGTGTCCGCAGATGCAGGTCCCCGGGGATGTGGATGCGACGGACATCGATGATGGGCGGGCGCTACTAGAGAAGCGAGTTAAGGAGATGGAGGAACGGTTTGCGGGGGTCGAGCAGATCCCTCTGCCTCCGTTTTGGGGAGGAGTGCGCTTGGTCCCTGAATCGGTGGAGTTCTGGCAGGGTCGGCGCAGTCGCTTGCATGACCGATTCCGGTATGTGAGGGTGCATAAAGAGGATGGGGAGGAGGGGGGTTATAGATGGCGGATTCAGAGGTTGTCGCCGTGAGGGCACATACTATTATAAACTTATACAAGAATAGTATCATTCAAGCTTAATCATAACACTTGGCATCGCTACTTAGCTGTTATACTCCGTATACAGTAGCTATCAGCCATATCCGGCAGCAGCCAAGACCTCACCTTATCGATAGGAGCGCAACCTCACCTCCCTCCCCAGTTCCCCAGATTAATACCACCGAGGCCTCCTCCATACACTCTATCCTATACCACTTACAATCCACACCTCTTACAGTTCACACACCAATACAACCAATCCAACATGACCGACCCTCAATCCCCAACCCAATCACCACCCCCAACCCCATCCCCGGTACAACAAAAACACCACCACCAAACCAAATGGCTCCTCCTCGCCCTCTCCAGCGGCGCCTTCGCAGCCCTCAACGGCCTCTTCGCAAAGCTGTAAGCCATTCCATTCCCTTCCCCTTCCCATTATCTCCCACCCAAGCCTAATGAAAACCAAATACAGAACAACCGACACCGCAACCACCACCTTCGCCGCACACCTCATCCACCTCTTCACCTCCACCTCCAGCCCAGATGACCACCCGATCCTAATCCTCCTCATCCGCGCACTCTGCTTCGGCCTCAACATCCTCAGCAACATCATCATGTGGGCGTTATTCACGCGCGCCCTGACGGCGGGGTCCTCCACGACGAAGGTGTCGATTACGAACACGGCGGCGAATTTCCTTGTTACGGCTGTGCTAGGTATGGGGGTTTTTGGGGAGAGGGTGGGTGGCTGGTGGTGGGTTGGGGCGGGGTTGATGGGCGTGGGGTGTGTTATTGTGGGGAGGAGGGATTGATTGATTTATTATATTATTTTGGGGGGAGAGGATAGTATAGGGTTGTGTGTATGTACAATGTGTATGTGTTGTGTTTGTGGTATCAATGCTATCTATCTACTGCGTATCTATTCTTTGGGTGGGTATGTGGTATGTGTGTGTGTATATCATGAGAGAAGGGGATGGGGGGAAGGGTTAACGCTCTTCTAATTCCAGCATGGCGTCTGTCTCGTCTGCTTCGTTGGGAGCGGTATCCGCGTCTCGGTGCTGCTCGGGGGCTGTGGTGTCCCGTCGTCGGGGTGGTTGTTGTTGTTGTTGCTGTGGTTGGGTGTGCTGCCACGGCAGTATAGACCCGATGCGCTGGAGGAGGTTCCACAGCCGTTCCTCTAACGTGTCACCACTGCTTCGGCCGTTACTTCCCCCCAGAGCTAGTTGGGGTGGGCTGGTCGCCGCGAGTGCCTGTTCCTCGGCTTCGACCTTGAACTGGTACTTCAGGCAGTCCTTGACGGTGACAAGTCCCATCAGACGACCGCGATGCTCGACCAGGATGACGCGCGGTCCCATCTTCTTGAAGATCTCCATTACTGTCTCAAGGGCGAGACGGGGGTGTACAGTCAGCGGCGTGTGATCCGCGTATCGGCTGAAGTCGACGTAGTCGGCCCCCGTGTTCGTTTGGATGTCGTCGAATGTCTCCGGCGCGTGGAGATGCGATGCTGTCGATGCCCTGCGTGTTACCGATGCCTCGGCTGCTTCTTTAGTAAAGAGGCATTTTGCTGTGGGCGATAGCGGCCCCTCGGCTTTGGCGCGGTTGATTGCGTAGCGCAGCTCCGTACGGCCGATGTATCCCACGAGTGTCTTTCGGGTCCGGTCGTCGACGATGGGGAAGCCTTGATATTTGTTATCGCTTAGTAGGTGCTCGGCTTCGCGGACGGGAAAGTCCGATGCGGGCAGTGAGACTGGGTCGGATGTCATGGCTTGGGAGACTGGTACGTTGAAGACATGGTCTTCTTTGTTGTCGAGGAATGGGAAGCCGTTGGACCAGATCATGCGGTCGGCGATGCCGCCCTTTCCGAAGCAGTCGCTGACGGCTTTGGTGACGCCGACGACGATCTAGTGTTGAATTAGTGGCAGTATGGAGATAAGTTTGCAATAAACGCACCATCGTTGGAAGAATGTAGTTCAGGGCACCTGTCAACTCGAACATGATGACCGTCACGGAGATCGTCAAATGCATGATACCACTGAGAGCCGCGCCCGCCCCCAGGAAAGCATACGTTCCTGGTGTGATGCATGGAATGTCTGGCTCACAGGACGCAAAGAATTGCGACTTCGGATACGCTTCGTGCAGCGCCTGAACGAGGATACCGACGAACCGGCCAAAGGACGCCCCGATGGCCATTGACGGCACGAAGATACCAGCTGGGACCTTGCAGCCATATGATATGATGACCAGGAAGATGCGAAGAATGGTAGCTACAGCCAGCGACATCACCATAGACCAGCGGTTCTTAGCCCTACAAGTTGTGAGTACATGTTACGCCAATCGGAGGATACCACTTACTCGCACAAGCCGTTATAGTCGTGCCCTCCCTCGCATTCCCGGAACAAGATCTCCATCATCTCCGTCATGTTGATCTTCAGGAACATATTCGGGTAGCACAGAATAGCCGTGATAAGGGCGAGGACAACGGATTCCATGACGGCGTGCTGCGACAGGTACTTCTTCCTGAACGCTTGCACCCGAAGGTTCCACTTGATCACAAAGGCGCCGTACAAGCCACCAAAGACACCGATCAAGACGAAGAAAATCAGCTCAAAGAAGTGCCAGGTACGGTCATATTGCACTTGGAACATGACTAGTTGCCCTGTCCGGAATGGATTCATGACCTGCATGTGTTAGCGACGAACAATTAAGACATTGGTAGACATACCGCTAGCACACCAGTCGCAACCAAGGCACAGAAATAACTGCGCCATAGAGTCTTAAGGGGAAAGTAAGATGCCACTTCCTGCCAGCTAATCAGTATGAGCTTTCACATCAGCCCTGCTGCGCATACCTCGAGAGAGAACAGCACCCCGCCAATGGGACTGCCAAATGCGACTGCTACTCCGGCCGCTGCTGTTGCCGTCAAGACCTCCCTTGTCTTGGATGCATTCTGCTTGTATTTGCTGAAAAACCGCGATATGACATTCCCCGTGCACACAGCGAAATGCACACTTGGGCCCTCTTTCCCTACGGACAGACCAGATGCAATGGCCAGCGGCAGTGCGATCGACTTGATCAGCAACGTCCATGCGCCCAAGAATCCCTTCATCACAAACCCCGCAATTATACATTTGATCTCAGAAATTCCGGAACCTGCGGCATACGGCGCGAACGATTTGACGAGGCTTGCGGCGACGAACGCGAACAGTACCTATACATGTCAGCCCCAGTCATCCGAAACGAGCAAGGTAGGAATGCATACAGCGTAGAAGATGTAGATGAAGTAGTTCACGATCCAGTAAGAGGTCCAAGGCCTCCACTCCGGACACCCTAAACACAAAGAACCATTAGCTTCGACAACGAGGGGCGATCGCACTACCATTCCACATACCTCCTTCAGCACCCCAACAACAAAACTGTTCATTGAGATAGAACGCAGTGGTACAATGCCCCAGCTTGACATCTGACAGCCACTCCGTAATGATGTTCAAAATCGCCGATATCAACCCAATGGCCGCCCCCACAATTGTGATCACCAGCCACGCCTGGCCGGCATCGTAGGACTCGCGCACTTTGCGTCTCCATCCAAAGGTTCCTTCCTGGTCCCAAAACCCAGATCCATCTCGTCGCTTAGCTCTCCGACGTGCCTGCTCGTGAACCGCGTCCTGCACCCAGTCAATGGTTGTGAAATCTTCGTAGCGCTTGATTTCGCTGATCTCCTCGGTGATAGCGGAGGGCTGGCCATTTTCCGGGGTCGGGCGCTCGTGGATCGGTGAGACGACAGATAAGCCTGATAACCTCCTCCAATTCCGACGCTCAGATGAGAGGGGAGGCGGACGAGCCGAAGAGGGTGAGACAGGCATCGCAATTCATTCCATGGACTGACAACGCAAGATGAGCATAGCTGAAGCTAGTAAGAGGGGAACTCTGGGGGGGAAGAGGGAATTGTGTTGGATCGGAGATGACGACGATAGGATGCGCGGCCGCCCACGTGAGGGAGCCGGACTATGTTCCGCTCTCGGGCTTCTCCCAAAACGAGGCTGAATAGACAAAGACAAAATGTGCTAGGATGTTGGACAATAGAGTGGAATATGTAGATACGTAGCAGGGATCTTTCATCGAGTGCCGGCTGAGAAATCGCCTAATAAGCGTGAAGTAACTAAATAGCTAGTATTGATCCTCTACCGAACCATACATCCATTATTCATTTACTTTCCTCTTCCGCCACGCGCGAGAGTGGATTTCGACGCCGCACGCGCCGGATTTCCCCTTCTTTGCAACTTCACTTACTGGCTTTGTCTTTACATCAACGCAGTCGCTGGGGTAAAAGTACTGCCTCAACTACACCTAATACTTCGTGTCATTCTCGTCAGGTGTATTCCGGTATCATTCAGAGCGTTACTTGCACAACTATCCCCGACGCGACAGTCGCGATGCCGCCCAAGGACAAAGCTGCCGCGGAAGCATCATCTTCCCAAGAGATCACGGGCCAGAGCGCACTTCCAAGTATGTGTGACGCTGTTCGCTATATGTTACAAGGCTAACTTGAGGTGAAGTCTCGCGGATCAAGAAGATTATTCAATTAGATGACGATATCGTACAATGTTCGAGCAACGCTACGTTTGTGATCGCAATGGCCACGGTTCGTGACTACGATACTTTTCTCCCCTTCAGTCAATTTCGAGACGATCAGCAACTCACATTCTTCCCACGAAATAGGAATTGTTCATTCAATACCTCACCGAACAAGGCCACAACGTCGTTAAATCAGAACGGAAGCCGCGCAAGCTTATCCAATACAAAGACCTGGGTTTGTGGCCACTGGGCGGAGGGGATGATAATATAAATTAATTACTGACGGATGGATCTCCAGCTACGGCCGTATCACGCATCGATAATCTCGAATTCCTCTCCGACGTGATCCCCAAAACCACCACCTATAAGCAGTTCAAGGAGAAACGGGCAAAGGAGAAGGAGCCCGGACCCGAGAAGGGACAGCGCACATTAAACGGCAATATACCTGCAGCGGTTGAAGAGAAAGAGGAAGTTGAGGAACAACAGAGTCTACAGCCGGTAGAGGACAAGCCTTCGAGGGGTTCTCGACCGCCAACGGTGACAATGATGGTGGATCGAACGGTTGATGCATCTGCTGGAAATCAGGATGTCGAGATGACGGACCAGTGACGGATTCCGACGATTATGAGTTCTGGAATTATATATATGTGTGTATCTTTGCATGGTGGAGTTATTTGGGAGGGTATTAATTTGCTTGGGTTTCGACCTGTGGGTTAGTCAATTGAAAATATGCTGTTAACTTAGTAGTTGATTTCGCATTGGAATATTCGGATACTATGGGGGCAGCGGAATGGAACGGACGACGGGATGAGCGGGAGGAAGGGAGTGAACGACGAATGGCGTAATGAGGGTATGCAGTGTTAGCAGAACAAAACAAAAAGGAATCAATGCATATGAAGATACATAGGTCGTTGAGGAAATAAAAGTAAATAGTAAGAATGAAAGTAAATGTGTATACTAATTAGTTAGTAGTAGTAAGTGAGTAGTAATAGGCTGTGATGATTGACTGTCAGGTGAGAAGCCTGACTAAGACGGGACGACGGGCCAATGAAACGCCCCGTGATTCCGATCGCTTGTCGTAGCGAAAGCTTTGGTTCGACTCTTTCCGTATGCCGGGCCTCCGACCTCAACCTCGACCTCTTGGGAAAATCAAATCCTCCCTCCGTCCTTATCTCTCCCTCTCCACCCCCCACACCCCAACCCACCTCCCTGCGGTCGTTCTCTATTGCAATTGATTGCAATTGCTCGTCTCGCCATGTCTCTCTCCGCCGCTTCCAGCTCTATCCTGCGCGCTTGCGCCCGGCAACAACTGCCCTCTTCTCGCGCCGCCATTGCCTCCTGCCAGCAGCGGAGGGGAGTCGCTGATGCCTCCAAGTCCACTTTCGATAGCCCCTTCGGCAGCTCCAAGGAGTACTCTTCCACCCTGAAGATCCCCGATTTCAGCAAATACCAGTCCAAGAAGCCCCCACGCTCCAACCAGGTCTTCTCTTACTTCATGGCCGGTTCCCTCGGTCTGGCCTCTGCCGTCGGTGCTAAGGCCACTGTCCAGGGTAGGTACTTCTGGAGATATCAATGTTGCGCATATCCAAGAGAGAAAAAGGCGGAAAGACTAGGAGACGGGAATATCAGGTTGAACAATTGAAGGGAATTGGATGTGTGCTTGACCGCTCGGGACAAATCGCTGATATGGAATCTCTTTAATCACTAGACTTCCTGGTTAACATGTCCGCCTCCGCCGATGTCCTCGCCCAGGCTAAGGTTGAGATTGGTCTCGGTGCCATCCCCGAGGGCAAGAACGTATGTTCCATATTCCCGAGCCATAGTCCTCTGGCTCGTTCCCCCTATGCAATCCGGTATCTGACCCATTCCGAAACAGGTTATCATCAAGTGGCGTGGTAAGCCCGTCTTCATCCGTCACCGCACCCAGGACGAGATCCAGGAGGCCCAGAAGACCGAGTGGCAGTCCCTCCGTGACCCCCAGGCCGACGAGGACCGTGTCCAGAAGGCCGAGTGGCTTGTCATGCTTGGTACGACATCCCCTTCTTCCCCGAACCCGCCATTGCCCCCCCATCTAATACCATTCCCCCTGTTTAGGTGTCTGCACTCACCTTGGTTGTGTCCCCATCGGTGAATCCGGTGACTATGGCGGCTGGTTCTGCCCCTGCCACGGTTCTCACTACGACATCTCCGGCCGTATAAGAAAGGGACCCGCTCCCCTGAACCTCGAGGTTCCCCAATACAACTTCCCCTCCGAGGACACCCTCGTCATCGGTTAAACGATTTAGAATTGATTCGATCTTCTGAGACCGCGGGAATCGGGCGATGGCCGTAAGAGCAGAAGTAGAAGTCGGGAAGGGAGAGAGAGAGAAAGAGAGGCAGAGAGAGGGGGAGAGAGAAGGTTTGTATTTGTGCAATAGACGAGAGCCTTCCTCTCTCTCTTTCTCTCGCTTTCTACTCTATTTTGTGTGTCTTTTTTTGTCAAGATTAAAGAGACCTTGTGTTTTTAATATGGACCCTGGAAAAATGAGCCTCTTGTTCTATTACAGTTAACACTGTTTTTTTGCCTTTTCCTTCTTCCCTCCGCTTGCTCATAGAGAGCCTGTATCATTCACTCGTTGTCTCTTCAGGGCCCCCCTGTGTTTTTTTTGGCTTTTCGCTCTTCGGTATAGACGTTGTTAAGGAGGATGTGTGAGTGGGTGGGTGGGATGAGGATGGACATACAGATGTGTATCTTATCTGTTTGTATGTTCGATGTTGTTGAGTATATGTGTCTGTTCTCTATTTCTGTTCCCTTTTTCTATTTCGTATAGTCGCTACTATCAATGCTGTTCCGGTTTCTTTTGTACTACGACGAGGTCACCGTTCCGTTTATTTTACCAATACGTAGGTGAGTACTAGTAGTAGATTCAACGAAATGCGGACAGGAGGACACCAATTGGCTGTGAAATGTCTATCTATTTATACATTTATTCATCTGAACGCTGTACATCTAATAACTAGGATGAACATCACATGCTAATAATTACATCAATCAGGCTATCAAACAGATCAATGAAGATGACCTCATCATCACCGTTGCCGAATAATCATCGACAACATGCCGATCACCGCCGCACCAGCAGCAGCGCTTTGAAGGGCAACGGTGGAGAGATCTCGTTGCGTGAGCACGACTTGGCGATCACTGAAGAGATCGTGGAGGTATTGGCGCAGGGTTTCGATGAGTGGAGAGATGCGCGAGAGCTGGTATTGGAGATACTCCCGGATATTGTCAGGGGTGGGTTTGCTGACTGTGGTATTGGCTGACGGTTCCGCATCAGCTGGGTCCGAACTAAATACCTCCGGTTCGGTGCTCTCGATCGTGACGATTGCATCCGTATCAGAGATTGGTTCGTCTGCTGGAGTAGAAGCGGACGATTCGGTAGTAGTCTCAGCAGTCTCGGGAGTCGCAGTAGAGGCGGTAGATGTAGTAGACGATTCCTGCGCCATCTGGCTCTGAGCAGATACGATCTGAATTCGATCAAGGGCCTTTTCCTTCTCAATGGCTTCAATGACCTTCTCTTCAAAGCCCTTGACGAGTCTCTTGCGACGCCAGGGTTCCACGGCGATCTGGAAGATCAGGAAGAGAAGCACGTTGACTCCCATCAACCCCCAGGTACCCCAGGTACTCATTTGGCGGATCTTGTCCGACCAGACTTGTTCCTCGTGATACCGGGACAGAATGCTCTTGCTCAATTGTGCGGCAGCCTCTTCGGCCTCGTGTTCGGCCTGGCTCAAAGCCTCCTGTGCTTCGTGCTCGGCTACTTCGTTGGTGTGATCGTTGCGGTAGAGATGGGTGAATCGTTCGAGGTCAGTGGGGGACCAGGCATGTTTGCGTTGAAGAAGCTCGTTCACTTCGCGCTGAGAGGTCGATCGGTTGTTGATGGCAGCTGCGTAGGCATCTTTCGCTGCACGGACTTGGAGGCGGGCGTTGCGGAGTCGCTCCTCTGTTTACCCATGACGAAAGTTAGAAACGATACTCTGATGACTATGTTATGGAATTTGAGTGTAACATGCCTTGTGTATGAATCTCCTTCTTCAGCGTCTCAATCGCCGAATAGCCTGTAAGATCGTTCAATCGCTGTCCCGCCACGAAGATGTTGGACTGCAAGTTGTCCATCACATCACTGAACCGCTTGGTGAACTGTGACCTGCGTTGCTCTATGTAGGATGGAAGCCCTCCATCTCTCCACCCCTTTCCATTGGCCTCGCCCTTATCTTCTTGCTGCTGCTGCTGCTGCTGCTGCTGCTGCTGACTCTGTGTACTTTCTCCCGTCTCCGCAGCAGCGGGAGGAGTCTGTTGCTGAGTCCCCGCATCGGCTTGTAGATTTGCGTTCCCTGCGGGAAGAGCTATGACTGGGCTTTCATCTTCCTTCGGCTGCTCAGCAGGCTTCCCGTCTTTAAGGGGATCAGATGAGTAAAGCGAGGACTGGGATCGGAATTGACATTGCAGGCAGATGGAGAAGTTCCGCGGTGCAGGGTAAAGAGAGTTCGGACCAACGGCGGGCAGGAGCGGTCGTCGTACTGGGCGGGTTGTTCGGGTGAGATTAAGGGTTGATTTGAAGGACTGCCTGAGCAGCAATGGCATAGACTGCATGGCCGTTGCTAAGGCCACTGGGACGTCGACCAGACAGACGCTGGGTTCGTTTGTTGTGCTGGATTATCGGGTGGGTTTGAATGCTGCTCGGCGCCGGGAGAGAAGGCGGTCATGCGGAATCGCCGCGGTTCTGCACGGTTCTGGTGGGTATTTTAGTAGCGCAACGTTGGGGATGGTTTTGTTGGTTCCGACGAGACTATTTCTCGTGGCATTATTAGAGACCTTTGTTCGTCTGTTTGATTTTTCTTTGCTTTACATAGTGTATATCCTGTTCGCATAGTGATTTTATTGGTATCAGAGTGAGCTAAACAAACGTGAAACAACATTAACCGCCTGTGTGTCCTAGTCCGCTGATACGAAAGAAAGTGGTAGAATGATGTAGGCAATACATGATTAACAACGTCATTATGCGTGATCGCAGAGTTAACTGCATAAAAAATATCCTGCGATGGAAGCCACGGGGCAAGAAATGAGTAGGATGTGTATAGCGAGTGGACTCTCATGAAGCAATAACTCCAGGCACTGACCACTCCTAGCGCACTAAATGCGAATGGAGCTGCCGGTCTTCCCTTGCTCTAAGGCATTCAGTCCTGCACTTTATGATCTCCCTTCACGGCCTCGGCATAGGTAGGAGGTGGGCGACTATCCGGGTGGTCCTGGCTGCTGCTGCCAGCTTGGGCTTGTTCATGGGGGTGATTCGGGGTAGGTTGCCGGATCTGTGGCGGGGCGTTTGCTGCTTGGGGCTGTTGTGGCGGCATTGTACCATAGCCCCTCTGGGAGGGGTGCTGGATCGGTTGGTGGGAAACATAGTAATATGTTACGCGACCGTTTTCCGCATCGCCAGGAAGAGGCTCATAGCTAGGGTCATCATAATCTGGTTCGGGGTACTTGAGGATAATGTACCAGGCGTGTAAAAGCCCGGGCACGTAGCCAAGGCAGCAGAGAGCAAGGTTGATGATGGAATCGGCCGTGCAAATGCCTACTTTGATCCACACTGAGCCAGTCGGTTAGCATGCGCCACCTCATGAAAGCAGTGTGCGATGAGTACTCACCCGCAACTGGGGGGAAGAAAACCGCGAGAATTGCTAGAAAGATGTCTGAACCACACATGGCTGTAATGGTAGAGAATAGGTACTCTATTGATCAACCTCCTGACCATGCAAGTGTTCACTGTAAGATCTTGGTTGGTATCCTACGGTGTAGGGATTAGTATAAGAGAAAGTACGCATGAACCTGAAGCGGGCAGGTAGTTGGTGGGATGACGAACGATAAGGATGGATGGATGCCTGCCTGAGCCTCCAAGTCAGATGACGTCGTTAATATCACCTGACGGCGCGGCTACTACTGTGATTCACCACATTAATCTCTCTTATCATTGTCTCGATGCGATAATATGACGCTTCATGTATATGTGTATATATTATGAACTCCTTTCATTGGACATAAAATTCTTTTACGATGATTCGGAGACTACGCGGTTCACGGCTGAATGTGCATAGGATGTTGGGAGCTGCCTGGGCACCCGAGGCTGCTGGAGACGGGAAACTGGGGGTAATCAGCGTTGGTATAGAACTCTTAAAAACCAAGATTATCCAGTTCAAAGGACTTTTTATAGACACATTTTCTGAGAGATAGCTTAGATCGCTTCGTCTTGGGACGGTAAGTAGTTGAGCTTTCTCGGCTTGAGCAATCGAGGAATCTTCAATCTAGTACTAGCAGCATCATCCAAGTCTTGCACATTTATATATAGTACTAGTACTCTCTGTCGTTCGTGAATCCCCCCCCCATTCACAGTACTATTTCCCCACCAGTTGCTACTAAGTACTGATACTAAGTAGTAGTACTTACTAACCGGTATTCGTATCATAATAATCCTTCCTACTGCATTCCCTCTTCCATTTTGCCTCCGGAAACATACTACTAGTTCCTGGCCCACAACATATTACTGTAGTTGCACTCCGACTGTCAGAGGGATAGGGCTGAATATACTAAAAGTAGGAATACCAACAGATCCCACATGAACAAAGTAGTAGAATTGATACTAGATTGCTTACTCTGAGCGAAACAGATGGTTCATCCTGGCCAGACTTTCTTGTTACTTCTTTCTGTAAGTGTCTAGAAGCATTCCACAGAGCGGAACTCTATTTTCAAATGATGCCAAGGGATCGAACTGAGTATACTCGAGAATGTGATCAGTAGAAACCCAAAACGGAACCTTAGATATCGGTCGAGCAGCACGGACAATATTTTACACATCCATCAGCCACAGAATTGGTGCCATGATGTGTCAAGACCAGACAGGCGATGGACAAGGTTGCTTACTCGATCTCCGGTGATGTTGCCTCCAGATACGCATGGTATCCATCTTAATGGCTTCCTAGAATGACTTCCTGCAGGACACATTGCAAGGATTAGGTGTTGTTTCAACATGTCTCCTTGCCAGAGAGCGAGATGTGATACAGATGCCATGATACATTCAGAGTTACGGAGAATATGTGGGGTAACTCAGAGCAGCCCGGTCGGCTTTCTTACATCCCTGAAGTCGGACATAATCGCGGAAAACCGAATGGGAATCTCAGAGCGACCTTGAGATGCATCTCGATAGTGGTCATAGTGGTCTAGCATCGAGCTCGACGACGGATAATCGCAGAAGCAGCATGCCAGATTCTGTGGTAAGCGAGCTCCTCGCCTCTGTTAGATGACCCTAGCATCGTGCGGGAAAGGGCGTATGCGTGACACGCAAGGGTGTATTATTATCAATGCTATTCTTTAGTTGGGGCAGAACTATTTCGAATAATTGGTAGGTATTGCGACGCCATGTTATACACCTAGATGTCGCGCCAGTTGTGTTGTTGTATTGCCGTAGATATGGATGTATCTGAATTAGTACATAAGCCTCTACCAAGCGTGCCAATCTTCTGAGGTAGGGTCAAAAGGGATAGTAATTCGAGGGACCAGTCTGATGAAAGCGATGCAGCAGTCTTTCGTGGGCATTCGTATAGTAGAGCCAGGCGAGTGAGGCGACGATAGCGATCGGCCCAAAGTGGATGTAAGTAACATACTTACGGTACACCGACAAGTGCTCCGCGGATGGTGTCTCAACTCTTAAGCTTACATCTCGACCACTTGAGAGGCGTCATCCTGGGACAATGCTTCAGCTGTGGAAATCTCCGAAAAACAATAGCAAATATTTGCCCAACCAGGCGGTTCCTAGTGTACCATAGAGTTGCACAATTTGGTTCTGCTCCCGTGTCGGCCAGGCCCACCCTAATTGCTACTGCGGCTTTCCCTGGTTCCTTCTCCCACAAAGGTTCAGGGTGCAGATTCAGGGTAGATAGTTATTACAGTGCTGGAAAACATGCCACTGCGGAGATGTATACCACCTGAAACACTGTTCTGTGTTGGCTTTGAACAAGGCTAACGGCAATGGATACACTTCATCCGAATAGTGGAGGCTGGGCCATTCGCTGTGTCCAGCACAGTCCGTGCCTCTGGCACCAACAGCCTCAAATCGGACGTGTGCCACGTCAGTCGATCACCGCTAGAGATAGATAATCCCTAAGAACTGCTCCTATGCATCACAAATTCCTCGCGATGATCAGGGCAATAAAGTTTCCGGTTCCTGCATTGATTCTTCCTTTTCTTCTCTTCTTCTGCCTGCTTGTTCCTGAGTTCCTTGCAAAAGACGGCTGCCCCCCCTGCAGGATCTCATTATTTGGTCTGACTCTACGCCAGGGAGTGGAAGAAAAAGTCTGACCATTTCTATCCTTGCTGCAAGCGACAAGGTATAGACAAAGTGAAACGACGCACAAAGGCAAGTGTTTACTTTCCTTCTGGAAAGTTTGATGGGTGTGATAATGAACCGAGTCGGGATCGGCTCTTGTACCTCAGTTCCGGGTGCTGGTGGAGCTCCGACTCAAGATCTCATTTGATAACACCGAGTCTCGCAACAAGTGAACTAACTCGATCTGTAGGCGCAACTGAACCTTCATGCGGAGGGACTCAATCGCAGCGCATTGCAGTGGAGCAGTTTAATTGGAAAGACGCCGGCTACTCTTGCGAACCGCCCGCCCCGTCCCCCTTTTGAGTCAGTCTTCTCCAGTCGCGGCCCTTCTGGTGCTTCTGGTGTTTCTGCCCTTTTACCTTTTTCTGTTCATTGCACTTCTTCCATTATTCAGTATTGTTCCGTGAAGGAACCGACTTCTATCGAAGTCCAATCGCGCCGTTCCTGCCGGTACTTTTCTAGGTTTCTTCTTTTCCCGGGGGGGCCTCGAACCCAAGCGGCAATCACAACAAGCCCAGACTGGGAAAGCACGGCCTTCCTCCAGGTTCCTTGTCTAGCGCCTGCCTTTTCTGCCGTGGATCGACGCCTCTTTTCATTTCTCCTCCCGTGACTTTTCGATTATCCTGCGCTTTTCTCCCCGTCCTTTGACTTCGCCGTTGGGGTGCTTCCCGGCAACTGCTTGCTATAAACCCAACCAAGACACTCGTTCATCCCCAGGTTCTAATCGCATCAGTGGAGTCCCTAGTGCTCTATTCGATCATTCGTTTTCGTTTTCTCTACAATTATATTTGTCGCATTGAATTGGACGCGTCGACAATTGGCACCCACTCGAATTAGAGACCATCGTTGCGCACACCCAATCGTTCATTCATTCGACCCCAAAGGTGATCGCGAAAGAAGGAAAAGAGTATGGAAACAATTGATTCGCTCTTCTGCTGAATGTTCATATCCGACTCGTGATCCGCTCGTCATTGTTCTGCCCTACGATATCAATTTTCGCATCCAGAAGCACCTGGCAGTCGCCAGTGCTGATCCAACCATGTCCAGCACGTGTATCTCATTGTCGGGCTCGACACAATGCCCGGCTTTTGACAGTTCCTCTGTCTCGACGAATTCCAGCCTGTATACAGATTTGTATGTACAAGCATCCGACATGGAAAATTCATTGCGCTAATTGCTTCCTAGTCCCTTTATGCAATACGTGTCGAACCTCACGCAATTCGACAATGAGTTAAGCAGCTATGTCATGCAGGGATATGTCAAGGAAAAGTAAGTACCTCATTCCACAACGGCAAGGGAAGTGTCTGACTAAAGCACTATTTACTAGGTATGAGGAATACTTGGGCTGTCAGGGGGTAAACTTGACGGAAACCGACGATTATTACGCCCGCTATACGACAAGTGTTTTATGTAGCAGCCTGGTACAAAGCTCAAAGAGTGATTGTAACCTATCAGATGAAGAGTCAAGACCGCTTTGCGCTGATACCTGCGTTCGTTCATGCCCTTCTCATTATTTATTACCTGGAAATTCTCACTAACTACTGTTAGGCATCAATGGCGATAAGTGAAGAGGCGATAGTTACGGATACTAACCTCTGCTCCGAAAAGGCAAGCGACTACATGTCTCAAATTCGGTCTGACTTTACGATCTGCGCCCTACCAGCCGATTCGCTTACGGTAACATGCATCACGGGAGCTGAAAACGAACCGAAGAACTGCGGATATCGTTCAAATCTCTTGGGACTGTGTTCATATTGCGCCTCAGGATCGTCAAATTCCACCGATTTGTGCTGTACAGATTCGAATGCTGCTACTCGGTGTTCGAATGTCACAGTTCCGTCTTCGACGCTTCCCCCGATATTCACCTCTTCAGCTGCGTCCAACTCAACAGCAGGCTCCAATGACTTATCGGGAGGGCAAATAGCGGGAATTGTTATAGGTTCGGTAGCTGGATTTGCCCTTCTCGCCGCATTAGCCGTGTTGGCATTGATTTATTGGCGACGCAGGCGCCGGGCTGAGAATGATAGCTCACTGAATCAGCCCAACCCCCAGAGGAAGGGGTCACCGTCAATGCAGCAGGACCGAAGTCTGCATGAGTTTGCTGCCATACCCGGCGGTCGAGTCGCGAGGATGTCCGCCTTGCGCGAAGTTTCCAGCTCATCCCCCGCTCGATCTCGGTACTCTGCTTTGTTCGGTGGCGGAAAGTACAGCGACACCTCGGATTCCGACCACGGTGCTAGCCCTGGAGCAATGTCGAAAAAGATTCCCCCCACAACAGGAAAGCGCCATGGCTCGCTATCCAGTAACTCAGCCTTGGCTGGTGCGGGCACAGATTCATCCCCTCGTTCAGGAACCGGCGGCCAGTATTCGTCACCGGACGGACTGACCAGCGGCCAGTCGGAGCAGCTATCTGCCTTCCAAGACTACTACTCGCAGGATGACATTCATCCGGGCGACAAGGTTGCCGTACTCTGGGCATACCAGCCTCGGGCAGGTGATGAATTCGCGCTGGACCGCGGTGAAATGCTGAAAGTGATTGGCATCTGGGACGATGGGTGGGCTACTGGTATTCGAATTCCCGAAACGGCAGAGGATCACGATGCTCGGCACCGCGAGCAACGAGATAGTGGTGTATCTAATGGCTCACGGCGGGCCGCTACATCTCCCGCTCCCGTTGGGGATATCAAGGCATTCCCTCTGGTCTGTGTATGCCTCCCACAACATTGGAGGAAGATCATCGACGGCGGACAAGCTGAAGACGACTGAGGATTGGCAGCAGCTATTTGCCCACCCGTCGATTCAACACATGTCACCAATAACGCCAGATTTTATGCCCCAGTGATGATCTTTCTTTCTGATGTTGATTTCTTTTGCGCAATTGCTGGTTATAACGGTTAACCTCTCATATTTTGTCTTTTGCAACCAACCCTGTCTTAAACTTTTCTGACATGGACGATATCCTGAGACGATGTCATACGTTTGTCATTTGCGCTTATTCTCTGTTGAATTCTTTGAGCTTCCATATACCCCATTCTCCTGCAACAACTTGTTGCCACTTCATGTATGATTTTTCGTTCCTTTGCTTCCCTTCATCTCTACATACGATTTTCCTCTTCTGTGGCTCCTGTTCCCACCATGTACACACATTTCGTGGACGAAGTGATGTCGATTATTGGTGCGGCAGCGGGGTCCTTATTTGTGGCTACCTATTCACCATCGTGCAGGTTGAACGATGGCAAATTTTACGGTCTGGAAGTATAGATTATTCTGATACCGTGTTTTCATAGACGTTCTGAATGGTTGAAAATGACACTGAAATGTAGCTGTTTTACGCATTCTGTATGAAATGATAAGGAAGTACGATGACCATACCCGGACCACATGGATCCGATGCATCCTAATTGGAGTTAGGGCATAGGTAGGTAGAGTATACACACGTCCGACTTGGGCCATCAGGCACCATGAACCCTGTGATGATGACGGACAGCCATGTGCATTGCCTGTAATATATCAGGTTCATGCCCTGACGTGATACTGTTCGGCTAGCCGGGGCTAGTTCCATGGTTGGTAATCTATCAACGGCGGATTCTTCCGGTGTAAAGCAAGATTCGCCTGCCTGGAGGTACCAAGAATAGAAAAAAGCCAACAGCAGACTGACAAAGGCAGGCAGGCGTCTACGAAATGCTAGCTAGCTAGTCTAGCTGGTCGACATATTATTACAGCTAGATAGATCTCTCCCAAGATAGCAGGCCCCCACACTTAAGAGAGCGACCGCCGAGGTATGGTTCGCAGATATGTCCTATGTACCAGGCACTGGCCCCAACGCACCGTCATAGCCCGTGAATGAATGCCTGACATGCATCAGGGTGCAGGCAGGTGCATTACCAACAGTTGTGCGTATGGGTTGGTCACGCCTGCCTACAGTAACTACTGGACCAACCCAACCTCATAGTAAAGTCCAGGCTCATTTCGTCATAACCGCAGGATTCAGGGGGAAAATAAGTATGGGTGGGAAGGGGAAATAAGCGGCCGGTGGTGCGACGGGTGGGTCACGTGCTAGGCATCCCCCCCCCACCGCCGCCGCCCGCCGCAGCAGCAACCCAGCAAAGCACAACTAAATGCCCCTCTATCTCCATCTCGGTTCCCATCCATCCTCCCCCGTTATATTCCTCTCTTACATCCCCTCATCCTGTCCCCGTTGCTCTTTCGCAGACCCCCTTTAAAAGTCATTTGAACAGTCCCAACGGTGCTTGGTGCGTATGCCACTTTTCCCTTTTCATTTGCCGTCTTTTCTCTTCAACCATTCTGCGATTATGACAAAGGACAAATAAGGGGGAATCCGGCCAACTAACATCGCGTGCATGCGCAGGTCATCCGTCTGTCAACTCGTCTTACCTCTTTTCCATCTCACCCCTTTATCCACATAAACAACCATGTCTGTGAGTAATAATCCATCTTGTGCTTCCCGCTCAGGGCTAACCGCTTATTTCCCTGTTTTGTAGCTCGCATCTGGGTATGTTCCTGACTGCTCCAAATCTCCGCATGTGTCTTCGAACATCCCTACCGTATCGGAGAACTCGACGATGGCAACCCCGAACAAGGCTGACTAAGTTACGGAGGACAGTGTTTCTATCACCGATGAGTGCATCACCGCATTCAACGAGTTCCGCATGAGCGGCAACAGCAAGGGAAGCAAGACGAAGTTTATCATTTTCAAGATCGCCGACAACAAGAAGGAGGTCGTCATCGACGAGGTCTCCCAGGACGAGGACTACGAGGTCTTCCGCGAAAAGCTCGCGGCCGCTAAGGATGCTAAGGGCAACCCCGCTCCCCGTTATGCAGTTTACGACGTCGAGTACGACTTGGGCGGTGGTGAAGGCAAGAGGTATGATGATGGCGATGGCTTAATGTCCGTGCTAGGATATCTGCTCACTTTCTTCTCACCACAGAAGCAAGATCATCTTCATTTCCTGGGTTCCCAGCGACACCCCTACCCTCGTACGTTTCGCACCGTCTCAGCTGTTTAAGCCCCAAATAATTGCTGACACCGATGAACTAGTGGTCCATGATCTACGCCAGCACTCGCGAGAACTTGAAGAACGCCCTCAACATCCACACCTCTATCCACGCCGACGACAAGGGCGACATCGAGTGGAAGACCGTCCTGGCCGAGGCCAGCGGTGGTAAGGCTGGCAAATAAACAATGGCGCCGGCTGGGCCCGGGCCAGGTGACTTGGTTGTTGCAAATTGCAACACATCACACTGACTCACTTTGCGGAGTACCTCGGAACGACCAACTTCTTCAGTTTCTCTGCACAAACTTAGTTAAATGAGAGATCGTTACGACTTGATTTCTTTTGATAGTGACCGTATCATCTTGCGATCGTGGCACTTTTCCTTTTTTTTTCCAATGATGAACGAATATTGGGGAGGGGATTTTCTTTCTCTTTATCAGCGTTTGTCTGTACAGAATACTGTTACGTGCCATGATGTGTGAATACGCGATTCGATGTAGAGTAGAAACATCAGGTCACCCTGCACACAACGAACCCCCCCAAAACTGTGCTTTCAGTCGAGTGCTTAGGTCTGATATTCGTGTGAAATAGGCTATCTCGACTATTGAGTGCTGAGAAGGAATGCCGGCCAGGCAGTATGAGTTGTAGGTAGTAGGTAGTATCACTTAGTTCTTGGATTGATGAAAGGGCGGCTGGTCAGCGTTGACTAGATGTAGGGAAGGTAAGGCGCCGAGGATGAATGGGAAGGGACGCCCTAGAAGACAAGACGGATTAGCCTGAGATTATACTAGTAGTATAACTATACCCTATAGGAGAATTCTGGTGCTGACGGGAAATGGGAACATCATCGTAAGATGTGTCTTGGGGGCAAAAGCCATGGCGGACGGTCGGGACGGGCAGCGGGCGTGGACCAATGAGGGCGGCGGTAAAACGGACTAAGCTAGCCTGTCCGGATACTCGACTTCCACCTCAAACCACAAGTCGAACGTCGTCTTCGTCTCCCATCGCGACTCTTGGTACCCCCCTCCACTCTACCCCAGGTATTTCCCATCTTGAATTCCGACGAATCGGCCCTCTCGCTGCTGGAGAGTTGCTTTTTGGCGATCAATTGATTCTAATACGCGCGCACACCCTTAGCACACAATGTTCCTTCGTTCCGTTACTCGCGCTGCTGCTCGCAGCTCGGCTGTGCCCACCACGGGCCTGCGCTCCTACCGCACCGTTTCGGGCCCAATGGCTTGCCTGAACGCTCGTCCTCAGACTGAGAAGAAGTCTATCGCTCCCCAGCAGACCCGCGCCGCCTCCGAGCATGCCATCTCGAATCCCACACTCGCCGGTATTGAGAAGCGCTGGGAGGCCATGCCCCCTCAGGAGCAGGCCGAGCTGTGGATGCAGCTGAGGGACCGCATGAAGGTCGACTGGCACCAGATGACTCTCCAGGAGAAGAAGGCCGGTATGCTGCTCTTTCTTGCCCCTTTCCGCTATCTTCCCCGCGTCCAGCAGAATTTTGCTAACATGGGTATTTTTTTCTTCTTCCCCACGATTTAGCCTACTGGATCTCCTTCGGACCCCACGGCCCTCGCTCTGTGCCCCCCAAGGGCGAGAACCTCAAGATCTTCTTCAAGGTCGCCCAGCTCACCCTTGTCAGCTTTGGTATCTTCTACATCATCCACTTGTTCGCCAAGCCCCAGCCCAAGACCATGACCAAGGAGTGGCAGGAGGCCTCCAACGAGTATGCTAAGGTATGTGGAATTGACTATTTGCATTATTTACTTGCCAATTGGCACTGTCTTCATGGTGGAACGGTCGCTGATACGTATCATCACAACAGCAAGAGAACATCAACCCTATCTACGGTATCAGCTCCGTGGGTTACGAGGGCAAGGGCTTCGTCCAGAGCCCTCCTGCTGAGAAGCAATAGATTGCCTCCACCCCTCGGGAGGAACAGGTATAACGACGGGGTGTGCAGTGGATGGGCAGTGTTGGGCTACAGGAATGAACTGCTGCCTCCCACCGCACGACCTTTGATGACGCCGGTTCTGTGCCCATCAATTTTGGACACGATCCTTCGCCTCTGTTCTACTTGTTTGTCAATGTTAGCCCAAAAAGACCTCTGTATCTCGTACTGTGCAATAATCAATCATCTCCTTTGTAGCCATAGAAAGATCAGACTGCAGGTTCTTTCGTGTTACTGCTGTAATTGCTGTAGTAGAATAATATATAGGATAGGAATCGTATACGCTCCTTAGTAGCTAGCAATACACGCGTGCTACATCTTAAATCAATGCTTCTATAGATAAAGCTTACATACAATGTATATGGGGGAAATGCTACGATGATCACTGTATAGGTGATTACATACAAGATGACGTTACTTTGATATTCCCTGCTGGGCAGGGCAAAGAAATGGGAAGGTTCGGAGCCACTGTTCGGTAGAGAGGCGGTAAGTCGGTGGTTCAAGTAAAACCGGAAGAGAGCTGTCACAGTTCGAAATGCACAGTCTAATGCTCCTCTAGAAAATTAAAAGAGCAATAACAGTAATAACAATAATGTAAAATAAAATATAAAAATAACCACAGTAATGTATCTACTCCATGTTCAGGAATCAATGGGTGGTGGTGGCTGGGTTGGTTGGTTGGATCCCAAAGTGAAAATGCACGGTCGCCCGGTTGTTTACCGTCGAGACACCGCAAAACCAAGCTGGGACCCCCGAAAGGGTAATCACGGGAACACGTCAGATTTTTTTTCGTTACAGCAGCGTTCGTCCGATATCGTCGGTCTGCCCTTCCGTTACAGCGAAAGAACAACTTGCCTTGTTGTAGGGAGGCAGCCCCAACCCCCTCACGAAAAGAAATGGCTTGAGCGCCATGCAGATGTGAGGGGAAAGGGAGGTACTTCTCGGAGTTGGTTGTTATGATGATTTTATGAATATTATAAAAAATTCACCGTATATAAAGTTTTATTTTTTTTGGTTGATGTATTTTTATTTTATTTATTATAGCTAGCTCTCTTTTTATTTATATAAATATTTACCTAGGCATAAAAAAAAGAGAGAGAAGAAAAGGAAAAGAAAAGTAGTCTGTATTAGTATTATTTTGGATGGGGTACCACCTTCCTCCCAGTGCATCCGGGCGCCAAGACCATCCCCATTTGTGTGCGAATTTCCCCCTAACAACCAAACAGGGCAAGGTGGGAAAGCTCGAATTGCTCCCAGTATCGAATCAACGCCCCGACCGCCAGCATCACGGACATATGGGTGTCATTAGATTCTGCAGAATGGACTGGTAAAGATGCGGTCGCCATAGTAGAACCTCCTAGTGACTGTCGGCGAGCTGAAAGCTGGTTACCATGCTGGCCAGCGCGTTGCTCGGTACATCACGGGATCGTCGGCAAAACCGCCCCGGAAAGGCTAAGCCGGACACATTCGCCCGTGTCCACCTCAACCTCAACCTCTTCCCTTCCTTTCCCTCTTTCTTCCCTCTCCCCATCCTCTCGTCCCTTTGACCTTTTCTATACCCCATTTCGCTCTTCAACACCATCAAGATGTTCAAGAGGTGTGTGACTATACTTCCCCGGATCCCTACTCCAACCTTTTACATTTTAAGATAATTTTTTATCTACCTTTCAACCTTTTTAAAGGCTTGCAACTAACCATTTCTTTCCCCCTTGTTACAGCGGTCTTGCCCGGACCTTCGGGAGGGCTGCTTTTGCCCGACCTACCTCCGTCGCCCGTCGCGCTTTCCAGCCTAAGACCAATGGCCTCCCTTCCCTGGCCCGTATGGCCAGCACTGAGGCCTCTTCCGTTGGAAAGATTCACCAGGTCATTGGTGCCGTCGTCGACGGTATGTGCCGGTCCCCCGTTCCAGAGAAAACCCTGCCGGCGGCTACGCGAAAATCTTTTCCGAGCCTCGATTCCATCCACAATCCCATCAAATTCGACTCAATGGCCATCAAATGAACACGATATCTGACTCTCGCCAACAGTGAAGTTCGACGGTGACAAGCTCCCTGCCATTCTCAACGCCATTGAGACCGAGAACGGTGGCCAGAAGCTCGTCCTTGAGGTTTCTGTACGTACACCAAAAATTCGAAGCTACAATGACATCAAGCTCTGATAGCTAACCCAATCTAGCAACACTTGGGTGAGAATGTCGTTCGTACCATTGCCATGGACGGTAAGCTTCCTCTCTCTCCCATGATCAGGAAAATAGAGATTTGCTTGGCAATATCAACCTCTCTTGTCACCGCTTTCTCTCTAACCTGGTCCTTCCACGTGTACTCGTCTCGCCGTGGCTAACATCAATGTTCCACAGGTACTGAGGGTCTGACCCGTGGTGCTGCCGCCCGTGACACCGGTGCTCCCATCACCATCCCCGTCGGTCCCGGCACCCTTGGCCGTATCCTTAACGTCACTGGTGACCCCATTGACGAGCGTGGTCCCGTCAAGGCCGACAAGTTCCGTCCCATTCACACTGAGGCTCCCGAGTTCGTTGAGCAGTCCACTGAGGCCGAGATTCTCGTCACTGGTATCAAGGTCGTCGATCTGCTTGCCCCCTACGCCCGTGGTGGTAAGATTGGTCTCTTCGGTGGTGCCGGTGTCGGTAAGACCGTCTTCATTCAGGAGCTGATTGTAAGTTTCAAATCCATCAAATGGAGATTTTGTGTGACCCATGGAACTAACATATCACCTAGAACAACATCGCCAAGGCTCACGGTGGTTACTCCGTCTTCTGTGGTGTCGGTGAGCGTACTCGTGAGGGTAACGATCTGTACCACGAAATGCAGGAGACTGGTGTCATCCAGCTCGAGGGTGACTCCAAGGTCGCTCTGGTCTTCGGTCAGATGAACGAGCCCCCGGGTGCCCGTGCCCGTGTCGCCCTTACCGGTCTGACCATTGCCGAGTACTTCCGTGACGAGGAGGGTCAGGACGTGCTGCTCTTCATTGACAACATTTTCCGTTTCACCCAGGCCGGTTCTGAGGTGTCTGCCCTTCTGGGTCGTATCCCCTCTGCCGTCGGTTACCAGCCCACTCTGGCCGTCGACATGGGTGGTATGCAGGAGCGTATTACCACCACCACCAAGGGTTCCATTACCTCCGTCCAGGCCGTCTACGTCCCTGCTGACGATTTGACTGACCCTGCCCCCGCCACCACCTTCGCTCACTTGGACGCCACCACTGTCTTGTCCCGTGGTATCTCCGAGTTGGGTATCTACCCTGCCGTCGACCCTCTCGACTCCAAGTCCCGTATGCTCGACACCCGTATCGTCGGTGAGGAGCACTACAACACCGCCACCCGTGTCCAGCAGATGCTCCAGGAGTACAAGTCCCTCCAGGATATCATTGCCATTCTGGGTATGGACGAACTGTCTGAGGCTGACAAGCTCACCGTCGAGCGTGCCCGTAAGCTCCAGCGTTTCCTGTCCCAGCCCTTCACCGTCGCCCAGGTCTTCACTGGTATCGAGGGTAAGCTGGTCGACCTCAAGGACACCATCCGCAGTTTCAAGGCCATCATCAACGGTGAGGGTGACGACCTTCCTGAGGGTAAGTTTAAATCTTTTGATCTTCTAATTTGTTGACCAACATGGATGCTAATTCGTTTTTCTACAGCTGCTTTCTACATGGTTGGTGACTTCGAGTCTGCCCGCGCCAAGGGTGAGAAGATCTTGGCCGAGCTCGAGAACAAGGCCTAAATGTAATATTGTTTTTAAGCGCCCTTTTCCTTTTTTGTTAGACATGGACTTCCTTTCTTCCATGTGCCGTTTTCTACCGATCCGTGTACAGTACTCGAATTGAGAAAAGGGAGTTGAAAGAATGGCGAGGTCCCCCCTATATAAAAGGATGAGAGCGCTCTTAACGTACACCTCTCTGAAAGTCTGGATGGAAACTTCCAGGCTTTGTGTTACACTACGTGCTCATGTAAGTAAGTTAAAATGACCACAGTCAGCCTGATACCCGCTGGGCTGGGACAATTGTACTCAATTTCCTTTGTTACTCCGGGAGACCGTGATATCTGCTTTGTAGACATCAGTAGTATAGTACGTAGGGTGTAGTTCTGTATGATTCTGTATATCAAATCATAACATCCCTTCTAGGACACGTATCAACATCTCGTTGCCACAGCATCACCGTTCTACTACGTATATCCCATAAATACCTCAACTGCATTGCAACCATCTCAGCAATTAATATCATACTCATGTTAATTCAGGTAGTACTACTCCCGTTTCGCTACAATTTTAGGGAATAGTCAGCTGGCTAGTACGAGTAAGTAGTCCCAAAGTCTGATATATATATATTCATATAACGGAATGAAGGGCTGAAGGAACGCAATGGACTCACGGACAGGATGAGCTATCATGGCCAGGTACTACTTACTAGTACTAGTATTCAGAAGTAAGATCGGAATGGAGAACAACACTAGTCCTTTTTTATAGGTGTTTGTTACTTTGGGGTTTGAATGGATATATAGTAGTACTAGTACTCTCTGCATGGTGCCATGTACTATCATCTATCATTATTACTATGATGAAGAGATATAGTAGGTAGTAGTAGGGACCCGCCAGGCTACTACTAGTAGTAGTAAGTACTAGTTCTAGGTAAGTAGTAGTGGTGGTATGGTTCGGCCGATAGTGTGTGAGAGTGAGAGTGAGAGTGAGAGTGAGAGTAAGTGGGAGTGGGAGTGGTGGGTTTAGGGTGTGCTTAATGGTACTAGTTTATATAATGAAATTATAAATGACTGAAATCTCATGGTACAATATCGAAGGGATAAATCACAGAATGAACATTAACAGACGCTATAGACTAACTCAAACAGAACAATGAGTGGTGCATGTTTATTCACACATATCATCCCCTAAGATTTATGCTGCAATTGTCTGAACACAATGGCTTTAGCCGTGTGGAAATGTCGGGAGAACTACATGAGATTGACCTATAGAGTCTCTTCCAAGGCAAGAACCTATAATTTGACATGAATGTTAGCATGGTGAGTCTTGGTAAATGGACTCGATCGCACTTACCAGTGCTGTTCTCGTCGGGATATAGACCTGCAGATAATTGCTGCGGTTGTTCCAAGGCAGGTCTGTCGTGAAGAAGCGCGTCTCCTTAAGGTTACGACCGAAGCCACCGAACTCCTTGTCATCGGTGTCAAGCACGATTCTGTAGGTTCCGGCTTGCTCAACGCCCACTCTGTAGTCTGTGAAGCTGTTTGTAGGATGGAAGTTAAAGATCCAGAGGAGGCCTGCACGTTCAAAGACAAGGACCTTGTCACCCTCGTGCTTCAGGCTGATGTATGCTTGTGGGGAATGGAGCCAGCCGTATTTCTCTTCGGTTAGCTGCATGGCGCGGTCGAAGTCATTCAGGAACTTATAGCGGAGAAGATGGTCTTCCGTTAGGTTCAGTTGGCGACGTGCGTACCAGAACGAGTTGTTATTACCGGCACGAGGGAAGTCGAGCCATTCGGGATGACCAAATTCGTTACCTTCAAAGTTGAGATAACCCTCACCACCGAGAGCATGGGTAACCAGGCGGAGCATCTTGTGAAGAGCCATGCCTCTTTCAATGATGGGTGTAAACTCTGTCAACACGGACATGTGGGTGTACATCTCCTTGTCGCAGAGCCACATCATGATAGTTTTGTCGCCAACAAGCCTGCCATGATTTAGCTGTGGTCAAGTTAAACAATGGAAAAATGAACTTACGCCTGATCATGGCTCTCCGCGTAGGCAATCGTCTTCTCCCCGTGACGTCGGTTGACCAACGTGAAGGAGAGGTTGCCAATGTCCCATTCACTATCCGACTTCTCTTTCAGGAGCTTGATGTACATGTCTGGAATTGCCATGGCAAGTCGGTAGTCAAATCCAACACCCCCAAGGGCGTGCGGCAAGCACAGTGCAGGCATTCCAGATACATCCTCTGCCACAGTTATGCACTCGGGGTATAGACTGTGGAGCATTTCGTTGGCCAAGGTCAGGTACATCACACCTTCGCCATCTACTGAACCGCCGAAGTATTCGTGATATCCGCCAGAGAATCCACTAATGCCGAGTTAGTATTGCAACGAAAAGATATAGGAGACTAATCACGTACGTTCCAATCCCGTGGTGGACATAAAGCATACTTGTTACACCGTCAAAACGGAAGCCGTCAAACTTGTATTCTTCCATCCAGAAGCGAAGGTTGCTCAGAAGGAACCTCAGGACTTCATGGCTGCCGTAGTTGAACAGACGACTGTCCCAAAGATCATGCTGACCCTTCCCACCGGAATGGAAGTAGAGATGGTCAGAGCCATCGAACATGTTCAGCCCGTCCAGGACATTCTTGGACGCATGGCTGTGGACGACGTCAAGAAGCACCACCAAGCCCATGCTATGTGCTGTGTCTACTAACTCTTTCAGGTCTTCCGGCGTACCATAGCGACTGCTGGCCGCGAAGAAGCTATTGACCTGGTACCCGAAGCTGGCGTAGTAGGCATGTTCCATAATGGCCATAAGTTGAATCGCATTGTATCCCAGATACTTAATGCGAGGCAGCATATTGGCAGTAAACTCTTTGTAAGTTGCGACCCTCGTTTCTGGAGAAGAAATACCCACGTGGGCCTCGTAGATACGAAGGCTTTCGGGCCTCTTTGGGCGCGAATGCTTGAATTGATAGCGCTCAGTAGCTGGAGGGTTCCAGAAGACCGACTCATATGTCGGAGACACAGTAAGATCTTGCACGACACGCTTGATCCATGCAGGGATTCGGTAGATTCGTTCTCCTTCAGGAGTGACCATGGTTATCTGCGAAGCGCAGCAATGTTAAAAGAAATACGTCCTGCTTGGTTGACTCTATGCACACTCACCTTGATTTTGCTGTCATGAGGGATCACCGGGACCCCATCTTTTGCAGGCAATGTAATCTCCCAGACACCGAAGCTGTTCTTCGTCATCGGGTGGGCCGTGACATCCCAATTGTCTGCCAGTCTCAGTAATGTTTCACCGGCTGATATCCTCCGCATAGTTAGACGTACTAAAGTCCCCAACTAGCTCAGCTTCAACAGCATTAGGCGCCCATTCTCTGTAAGTGATGTCTCCATTGGCGTTGACATTGAGACCGTATCTCTCGTAGCCCTATCGGAAACGCCGTGTCAGTTGGTGTTGGTCATTCCAAACAACCCAGTTGAGTGGTGTCAATCATCTCGAACAACAGTAGCAGCAAGATAAGTCACTTACCCTGCTAAACTTGTCCAACCCGCCCTCAGTTTCATTAATCGTCTTGACCCAGCTCTCTACATACTGGAACCTCTGCTTCAGAGCATCGCGGAAGGGCTCAAGCCAAGGATCAAGCTGGATAACACCTATCGAAACAATTAGACGAAAGAAGAGACAAATGACTCTCAAATCAAACCAACTGACCTGTACCATCTGGAGACGCCGTTTGAAGGGCAGTTTGAGTTTCGGTAGAAGCCATGGAGATTGGATCGCCAGTGGCAAGAGATTAAGCTCTGGGGAATGTGGACCGTGGAGATAGAATAGATAATAGTACAACAAACAAGAGAGGAATCTAGTTAACGGCGTCAAAACAAGATGAGCTCTGGAAAAGAATAAACAGGACGAGAGGTGGGGAATCCCAACCGATGGGAAAAGTAGTAGGAGGAGGAGGTGGTGGTTGAGGGACATGCGGGGGAGAGTCGAGGCCAAAGCTCCTCTTTCTTCCCTGTTGGTTTGCTGGTTTGCTGCTGCTACCCTTCCCGCCGTGACATCACTGCAACACCCCTGCTTCTAGACCTGGTCTGCCCAGCCCCCCTCCTCCTTCTCCCTCCCTTCATTATTTTCTCGTCGCGCGCTTTGAATTTCTTGACATTGAATGTCAATTCATCGATGTGAGATGCTGGTTTACGATCTATGTTTGTCTACTACTACTCTTGGATGGTGTGTATATCCGTGGTTCACTGTGTTGTGATAACGCGACAGGAGGAAGCTGAGCTTTGACTTCAGGTACGGAAACAGGTACCCGCCCTACGCAGCAACTCGGGGCTCAGGGGGTCTGAGGGCCGGTCAGATTACTCGCGAGGCTTTGCGATAGCTACGGGCCACTTAAATACGCAGTGCGACAATATGTTTACAATAAGGCTTAAAGCAACATCATTTGAGGAGAATATTAAAGTCACTATGTTACACAAAGCTTGCACAGCAGCTGTTGAGAATTGAGCTACATGCTAAGGTACTAAAATGCCCTCTACCATGAACTTCCACTCAGAATCAAGCTGTGGGATGCGCAGCCTCCAGCATAATCCGGATTATAGCAGGTCCGGCTTTACACGTAGCAGACCTCCTGTCCACCCTGCTCGCCCTGTTCACCCTGTCCACTCTGCTCGCCCTGCTGGCCCTTCTGGCCGAATCCAGAAGCTCCGCTGGGGCCCTGGGGAGAGTTGCCAGCACCGCTGGGGGCAGCAAAGCTGGGAGCGGAGGTAGTGGATCCCTCCTGGGCACCCACAGCCGGGCTGGGGGTAACGGCAGCAGCGCTCGTAACAACGGCGGAAGTGGCAGCGGGGATGCTCTCGCTAGGGGCGACAGCGCTGGGCACAGAAGCAGCAACGGAAACGCTGCTGCTAGAGACAGTGGCATGGCTAGCAAGGGAAGAAGCAGCGGCAGTAGAAGCGCTGTCGGCCATCAGAGCACTGTAGGGAGTGGCACCCGGGTAGAAAGAGGTGGGGATAGTCGGGATGGGAATAGAAACAGTAGAGCCGAAGTCGGTGGTCAGATCGGCCGCCATCGAGGTGGCAGAGTAGCCCGAGGGAGCGGAGTCGACCGTGGAAGTGGTGGCCGAGTAGGAGACGTGGTCGTCGCTGTCCTGAAGGCAGAATCCGCTGCCATAGGCACTCTCACAAGAGTACCACTGAGAATCACCCTCCTCGGTCCACATGGCGAAGTCCTCGATGGTAATGTCGTAGCAAGGGGCACCATCGGCACAGATCACCTTGACAGGACCACGCTCAGCACCGTAAGCTTCGGTTCCCTTCCAGTTCTTGACAGTGATGTTGCTCAACTGAACACCATCGCCGTCCACTGCGCTCATACTGGCCCAGTAGCTGTCGATATCCAGGGAGTAAGCGTTGCCGTGGCCTGTTTACAGACAGAAAGAACTCTCAGTTAGCCTCATCGGGGACACATAATGTTGCGTAAGATATTACTCACCAATGAAGTTCTCGAGGAGGACATTCTCGACGAAGCCGCTACCTCCGTTGCTCTTAATCAACATCATGTTGTTCGAGTTCCAGGTGTAAATGTTGCGGTAAGTGATGTCGCTAACGTTGGTATCAGAGCCGAACGAACCCATACCACAGCCACCGCTCCAGTTGCAGTAGATGCTTTCAATAAGGATGTTCTTCGACGGACTCTATGATTGACGGTTAGTTTAAGACTTTCTTACGGGACACATATCGCCGGGATGGCCATACCTTGACAGTGACACACTCGTCCTTGTTCGTCACCTCGACCTATTGAAACAGTTAACGACCTGCATGCATGCAGGCAACATTCTGCTCTTCAATACTCACATCATGGACCCAAATGTTGTTACTCCAGACATCAATACCGTCCAGACCACCGTGGTTACCGCCGCGAATTGCCATGTTGTAGATTTCGCCATTGGTGCAAGTGTCGAGAGAGAAGTGGAAAGAGGGGGAGTCAACCAGGATAAAATCGTGGACCGAGAAGTCTGTAACCTCATACAAACGCAGCAGACGAGGGCCGCTCCAGTTATCATCAGCATGAAATTCGTAGCCCAGACCCTGCATGGCACCTTCGGAGGTGCTACTGAAAAGTTCGAAGTCGTTAGAGTGTTCGATATAGATCATGTTGCCGCCGTCCGTGCCAGTACGGTAGATAATTCCATCGATCTGCAGAGCCCATGCCTCACCACCGCTCAACCTCGCCCAGGTGGAGAGAGCATAGTCACCAGAGGGGACATAGACGAGACCACCAGACTTGCAGTCAGCAAAGGCAGATGCCAACGGCGCACCCAAGTCAGTAGACTTATCCGCCACAGCACCGTAGTCCAAAACGTTGCAAGTCTTGGTAGCTGCCTTGGTGGAGGCGGAAGTCAGCGGTCCCACGGAACCGGAGAGCTGCGCAGCAGCAAAGATGGGCGCCAGGCCCAGGAAAGAGAGAAAAGAGCGCTTGTCGAGAAGCATGGTGCTTCGTCGAGCTTAATAAGAAAAAGGAATGTGAGGTTACAAAAAAAGAGTGAAAGGAAGTGAGTCTAAGCACCCCTAAAGAATGAACATTGAGATATCCAACGGACTATGCCCACAGCAGGGGTTCCCAGGCGCTCTCTTTATAGGTAAAAGCTATTCAAGCGCTTCTCTGACAGTAGTCTATTTCCCGCTGTCATCTTTCTATTTCTAGAACGTTTTGCCGGTGCCATACCGGCAACCTCTGACACGACAAGAGTGAACTAGACGAAGCTATCGATACTATTGCTGGAACCCTCGAAGCAATTTTCCTGGATGTGGAAATAGTGGCACAATCCAAAACATCGAAAGAGCGGGATCGATGCGCTATCTCCCGGTTGAGACTTGCTCCATGCTTAGGGTGTTTGTCTTAGATAATTTGAATGGAGCATTGGCCCCGCCCATAGACTCAAATAGATTGAAGGGCTTAAGGAGGCATCGATACTGTACAGTTTGCTCCTGATCGGACCATCGGGCAAGCCATGAGGGACTATCGTAAGCGGCAGATGCAAGAGTCCTTTGATGAACCTAACTGATAGCAGACGACTCAGCGTTTATTGTGCAATCAAAATGCAAGAATCCTTTACCACTTGCTAGACAGAAAATTTCAAGCTTCCATGATGATTGCTGGGAACTTCCCCTTCCCCTACCTCAACGGAGGGTGGAGCTTCAATCTGAAACGCCCGAGGTCAAGACTAGGCCGGTGGCCCATAGCACTGATCAGGGGATTGGGCGGAGACTCTCAATCGGCGCATAAGCTCTTAATCAGGGTCTGCCGTGCATGCTAAATTGCAATATACTCTAGATGATTCCCGTTCGGATTTCTGAGAGATAGATTAAGCCAGCCCGAGTGATTGCCGGGCCCAATGGCCCAATGCTAGATGGTACAGGTGTAGCCTTGTGGTTATTGAAAGGAAATGAGGAGGATGCTGACCCTGCCGAGTGGTGGACTCGGCGCTAGTAAGCCCCGTACCCCGTGCTTGCCGACCGGACTCGGTTGCCTCTTCGGAATGTCGCCGGCCATGTTGTGCGGTTACAACTGAAGCCTCCTCTTTTCAGTCAGGACCAGTGGCTATTACGATTGTGATTGAGAACGCTAAGAGGTCAAACACAGGAAGAGAAATTGTTTTCACCGATTCATGAAGCTCTATGATTAAATATATAGCCATGTCTGCCCGCCCCGCAACAACATTCGACAATCCAGGGCGAAAATGGGTAGTAATATACAATGAGGTTCTCGTTGCTATTCATTGCCGGCATTCAAACCAGGCCGACTCCTCAGAAAAAGAGTATATGCAAACCTGATGTGAAGGACATCACTGCAGACCACCGTGACCGCGCACCCTGAAAGATGAACAATTAGCACTGGCTCCTTCATGTAACATCACCACGGAGAGCACTCACAATTTACAGGTTCTGACCGAGAGTGGCGACAACGCTGCCGACAGAAGTGCCAAGGGAGGGGAGGCCAAGGCCAGTGAGGAGAGAGGCGACGTCAGTAGACAGCTGAATGAGCAGGAAAGAGCCGTCCTGGCCGACGACGGTCAGGAGCTGCTCAACGGGAGTAGAGATGTCCTTGAGAAGGTCGCCAACGCTGCCGGCAGTCTTGATGATCTGACCAACGGGGGTTCCAACGTTGGGGAGGTTAAGGTTGGAGAGGAGGGAGGCGACGGAGGGGCTGAGTTGGACGAGCAGGCGCTTGGAGTCGGAGCCGGTGACTTCGAGGACATCCTTGACCTTAGGAGCAAGGTCCTGAACGATCCCTTCATCTCCCGAGCGCTTGAGGTTCTCGCCAAGGGTGCCGACAATGGATCCGACGGGGACACCAAGCTCCGGGAGTCCAAGGCCGCTGAGAAGACCAGTGACCACGGGGTCGAGCTGGATCAGAAGAGCCCTACCGTCCTTGTCGACAACAGTGAGAAGGCCGTCGACGACATTGCCGACATCCTTGAGAAGGTCGCCAACAGACGCAGCGGTCTTGATAATGGAACCCACAGAGGATCCAAGGCCAGGCAGACCCAGGCCAGACAGGAGCTTAGCAACCTCGGGGCTGAGTTGGACGAGGAGCTTCTTGGCGTCAGTGCCAGTAACAGTCAGGACCTGGTTGACACCATTGCCAGCATCCTGAACAATGTGGCCGGTAGCCCCAGCACTAGCACTGGCACTGGGAGTGGAGATCACGTTGCTGGAGACGGAACCAATGTTCACAGTCTTGGTGACCTCAGAGACTCCAGGAACACCACCGGTAGGGGCAGCGAGGGCCGAGGTGGCCAGAGCAGCAAAAAGAGTAATAAGGGAGGCCTTCATTGTGCTTGATGGTATATGATAAAGGAGATTGGAAGGGAAAGAATAGACTTTGGTATGTTCTTGTGGGTTTTGTTAAAGAATGACAGTAGTGGGCTTTGGTAAAGAACGAATGATGTGCTGCTGATGAGAGGAAAGAGGAGTTGTCGAGACGAAGAAAGCCTGCTCTTATATCCCATCGTCGCACAAGTGATCATCATGATTTCCTATCCTTTTGAGACCCTTAGCAGCTGGGACGTATAGCAACTAGCTGGCGGGTCAACTCTACGTGCTAGGATGTAATAGCAGTGGTAAGGATAGCAAGGGCGTATGCGTGATGGATGCAGCGTTGCTGGGTTGTGGAGACAGCTACGAGCTTGGTCAACGTTCGATTGTCCCTTCAAGCCATGCAAACCGCATGGCGACGATCAGGCGTATACAATAGTACCAAGTATGATCATGTGGGCTCCACTGTTGCTTTGTGGGTCTGCAGCTAAGCAGTTAAGATTTTGCTATTGGAATTGCCATGCTGTAGCTAGACTTACTGTCGCTATTTCCCGATGCCCGTCGAATGACTATCACCGGCAAGGCAGTGAGCCACACGAGCCGTGAACGTCGTCCGCCCAATCGGCAGCCACCCTGATCCGCTGATTGGCGTTGAAGGAGCATAAAGCCACCGGGACATTTATCGCCACTGCCATAAGGATCTGCAGCCTCATCTTACTAGGATTGTTTACTTCTGTGACCCATGCATTGCTGTTAGCCTTCTATACCCAGTAATAGTACACATACTATTGGCACTCGCCCTCACTAACGACGTTGAAGTGTGAGCACGTCATGTCTAAGACCATGTCGGGTCCCTGTCGATCCAAACCCCTCATGGAACAGTAATAAAGGGGAGTAGATTCGATGGTAGAAGTTGTATTGCTTTTTTCTGCGTGACTCTGCTTTTCCCATCGAGTACGACTATTTGCAGTCTATCTTGATTAAGGTCGCAACGGCCATGCATATTTGCATGCATGCATGGAGGCGAGTCGGTGGCCAGCCAAGTGCAAACATAAATTCGACGCCGGGGATATGCAATCTTACCGCTAGTGAGATGCACCTGAAATCGACAATACTTCCATTTTTAGCCATTGAAATTTATTCGCTTGGGATTTCTCAAAGTGTCTTTTGAGGCCCCGCATACAACACATGGTGGGAATAGTCTGTCTTGCCTGGTAGTATCCAATTGCGAAAGAACGATAGCCTTTACCTCTCCGAAGCTGCAGTAGCAGCTCATCCGAGCACGGTCACTATAGTAAAAATGTTTCCAAATTGGCAATCGCATCTTGGAGGCGCAGATGGTACTGCAACTGTACATGCATCCGTACCACCGATCGTGAAGTTGATTAACTTTACTAGTCGCTCGATTCTATAGGAATTTGAGTTTGCCCTCCCGCTGTAATGTTTTCTGGAAACGCATTTCATTTGTGAATCTTGCCGATAAACGCGAGATGGAGACATGCCGTGTGGGCTTCATACGTATTGTGTGGTGATGTATGGCTGCATGGAGTCAGGGACACAGTGGCTGGTGATGACGCGAAAGCATAGCGCACTACTTAGAGTAGAATTGGATTCCGAACGCAGGGAGTGAACTTCATTTGTCGAGTACCCCACACGTAACAAGCAGGTCGGAGTTGAGGATCTTGGTAGCCAGCCTCAATTCGTCAATGTAGTCAGGGGAATGAGGGGAGGTCAACCAGGCGAGCTGCTATGAAATGTTTCTTCCGGGGGATGATACCATTTAGTCCCTGGATAGGCTGGTTAGCCAGCCCACCACGTGGAACCCGTTCCTGAGATGGCAGCAGACTCCTAAACAAGAGGGGTTTGCCACTCAGGTACACAGCGGGAAAATCCAACTGTGTGCCGTGATCAACAAGGTCTAAGGAGAAGTGACGGCCCATCTGGTGGAGGTTGGGCGATCGTTGCTTGGTTTCGCATGTCGCAACTTGCAAGGCCATAGGGAAGATACACAGATATTACGCAAGACGATACACCGGATACTTCCCCGTTGGTGGCAAGTGGGCGTAAGGAGAACGTTCCTGTGGGGCCCACTATTGTATGCATACTGTATTGCCGGGGAATAAGTCCTAGCTTCCCCCTTTCGGTAGGTAGTAGATAGACCCGACTGTGTGCCTTCAGTTCAACTGTTGATGCAAATAGTCCTGGCCTTGATCCCTGGTACTCGCGGAACCTTATGGTACTTCCAGACTACCTCACTCATCCACCTCAGTTGTGCCCAATCCACTTTCACGAGCACAAATGGCTCGTACCTCTTCCGTCTTTTCCCGCGACCTCTGAGAACACTGTCATCGAAATAACGATCAACGCGATCGTCAACATGGGTTTACTGTTCTTGCCTACTGACTAAGGGCCAGGAAAGCCTGTTTCGACGTCTAGTGACCTATGGAGTACATCCCCAGCGGTTTCAGGTTTTACGGGGATGCACAGACACTACATCACCCCCCCCTTTTGATAATGGAGCCTCGAACATCCTCATCTCAGTAAATGTCCCCTGGGCTGCTATAGCTAAGAGCATGTCTAAGGTGGAACCTTCCCAGGTACTGACGGATATGTTCATCGGTATCGTTAAGTGGAATACATACACGCTGAAGCGGAAATCTGCGCATGCGCAACTTTTCTCTAGGAAGCCGGGCTTGGTGGTAACTCCCCGGTGAACCAGTCACTTGCGGTCGCTCCCAACTCGAAGTCTAGTGTCCCTCCTTGGGCAAAAATGTCGTCCCATGTTAACCAGTTCTTCTTCCAGTCTTTTCCGTTCAAGCGAAGACTTTGCACATAAATATCGCCGCCTCCGTTTCCATCACCGCCACTCGAAGTGACATTCAGTTTCTTACCACCCCCAAGGTCAATGACAAGTGAATCAAACCATGGAGAGTGGATCAAAAATGTCGACTGTCCTGTCACAGGGTATAGTCCGATCATATTCCACAATATCCAAGTCTGCATAGCTCCAGCATCACTGTTGCCGGGGAGGCCGGATACTCCAGTACCATAAAAAGATTTGGCAATATAACGCGATCGGAAGACAGACAAATCTTGCCGGTCGATATAGTGGTAAAGATAAGGGACGTTGAACATACTGGATCAAGAACCTTGGTCAGCTATGTCCCTCGCAAGAGCAATACCCGCAAGAAGACCAAGTCAGGCAGGGAATACACTTACGGTTCGTTTGTGGGATCAAAGATAATACCGCTGGAACCGCTGGCTCCTTCAGTAAACATGGTGTTAAGCCGGTCGAGAACGGTTTGATTCCCTCCCATTTTATCAATCATCGTTTTCATGTCATGGATACTCGCCCAAGAATAGGCCCACGAACTGGCTTCGTAGTAAGGGTCTCCCCAATAGCCGCTGTCATTCAGTGGATCAGTCTCGATGAAACCAGACTCATTGCGAGGAACGACAAATCCGGAGAATCCTAGCGATGTCTGGTTGGCATTCCAATGGTTTCTCCAGTTTCTGGAACGGTTCAGGTATTTCTCCGCATCGTCAGTCTTCCCAAGCCCCGATGCTACCTGGTATAATCCAAAGTCATTGCATGAATATTCCACTGCTCGCGTGACAGCACGAGTAAATCTGGGGGTGATGTAGCCCAAACTAAGCCAGTCTGGCAATGCGCCTCTGCCTTCTTTTGTCGAGGAATCGGGGGCCTGGGGATCGACTGGATCGTTGGGAGGTGTCACTTCTGCGTCTTTCACCATGGCCTTGTAACCATCTTCCCAGTTTACCGCACCGCGCACGCCCTTGACATAGGCATCGGCCAGAATATTGTCCGCATTCGAGCCGCCCTGTGTACGACCATTGTAGTTAGAGGACCGCGAATCCGGCATATAGCCCTCGAATCGCCAGATATCAATAAGCGACCGGATCTGCTCCTCATATGCGGCGGGTTGCAACACCTGCATGAGAGCGGTAGAGCAGCGGAAAAGATCCTGCGAACCAAATGAGCGATACAGTGTCATTTTAGTTGTGTGTCCGAAGTACTTACCCAGTAAGTGAAAATATCCTCATAGTAAGGTTCTTGGGATGTCCATTGCGGGTTCTCTCCGGTTTGGTTGGTAGGAAGAAGGTGCATGAAATAGAGAGACGTATATAATAGCGTGAGCGTCGTGTCATTCGTGTTGGTTGTGGCGACTTTCGACAAGACTTTCGTTTCCCACTCGGACTGAGCATCGTCCACGACCGACTGGAATTTCTTGTCTTCCGGTATCTCATCTTCGACATTCTTACAGGCCTTCTCCGTGGAGATCCACGAGATGCCCACACGAGATGTAACTACAGAGTCTTTGAAAGTGAAGAGACCCCCAACTCGCGTTGAACCTGAAGAAGACGATGCGAAACCGCTACTTTGTTCGACGCTTCCGCCCGCATCGGTTCCAACATAGGTCTTGTTGCTGATGGGCGAGGCATCGAAATGGCCACCTGGGTAAAGTCAGCTAATTCTGCCCTGAAATGGCCTGGACTTTGACAAAAGCTTACAAAAGTAGATAGACCAATCGGGAGAACGGTTCCAGCCGTTGTCGTACACACCATGGCCCTCATAATGCCCGTCGGGGAAGATGGTGATATTACCACCTTTGTATCCCTGGCTGAGTCCCATTCCCCGATACGACGGTAGGACATGCGAAACGTCAACCAAGACATTACCATCCGAGCCGCTCGGAAAAGTATATTGATAGATTCCTGCATGAGCGGTTGCGCTCAGCTCCACGACTGTTCCTTCGGCGGTCTTCGCCTTATAGTAGCCCACTGATGCCTCATCTGCACCTGACCGGCCAATAGTGATGTTGGACAGCGGTTTGCTGATATTTCCAATCAACGGCAACTGGGAGACAGTGCCGTACTTAGGCGCACCTCCTGTGCCCTGCTCATGCATCATACTGAACCCCGAGAAATTGCCATTGGGCAAATATCCGGAATATGAGTCTGTTCCGGAGACATATAAATCGGGTCCTAGCTTCACC